GAGCCCATAAACAAATCAAGGCTCAGGAAGCACCTCACACCATGGCACGCGGTCCGTGTATGTATCTACCAAAAGATTTTTCACAAAACGAACAACTGAATGTTTTACCAATTTCATCTTTGAAATAAAAATGAAAAAGGGATCATAATTGTTGATCGCTTTTCTGCAGAAAAAAATGAACAACATGCTTACCAATGGAGGGAGGACGGTTTCCTGTTTTGAACTAATAAGAACGGGAAACGATTGCAATTTGCGTTTGTGGAATTAAACGAGAACAAAAAATCAATGGACGGTATACACACGGACCGGTTACGCACTTTCGCTGTACCTACTTCGATTCTTTTTTATTCTGTATTCCTTTTTTGTTCGTCACGGTATGATTGCTTCAGGGTCCCATGCAGCTCTTCTTACACCTACACCATCTCATCCATGGCCACACCTGCATCGGCAGGAGTGACCGTTATGATGTTGGGATCTTGCGGATGATGTGACGGGACCGGTTCGTGGTCCTGCTGAGGGATGTGTGCTCTCAGTGGGCATCTCTCCTCTCCTTCATTCCTTTCTCCGTCTGTGCGAGGAGTACCGTCAGTTGGTGCCTTATCATTTGCTGAAAATGAATTTCAGGTGAAATCCCTAACTGTCTGCTTTTTTGAATATCAAAAGGTAATTGAACAAGAGACTAAAATGTCACAAGTAGGCCTTGGCTGTACAGTCTCTAAGTCCTGTTTAATGCGGTGTATTTAGTCTCTGCTCAATTCGTCTTGGGACTTATAGGTAGTGTATAGGATTTGCATTTACTATTAATTACTACAATGTCAGAATTGACCGATTTGGTGGTTTGTGATCATTCCACGAACTTGTTCCACTTTTTGAGATTACTGCTTTGCAAAAATCGAGAGACATGCAGTTTATTTTTAACCCTCAAAGCCCACCTTGTGTAACTTGTCTCACAAAAAATCCGTGTGCCACAGGAATCTCCTGAGTACCTGTACAATTCACAGGCGAGGTTGATCTGCAGACCGATCATGGCCCTCAAAATGCATTTTTCCACGCCTTCGCGTAGTACTAGTGGTTGGTAAATTTACAGGTTACCTTGAAGTTTGTATTACCTCTTTAACAATGCAACGCTGAGAATTTGTCGAATAAACAACGTTTCATTGGCAATGAGTGAAGCCAATGCAGTCACCACAATCACTGCCCGATGTGCACATGCACGTACATGTGTACGATCAACCACAGTCATTGTTCACTCTCCACACGTACCTTTGACAGTCAAAACCGTCCACACACCGTCAGTACCAATCAATAACACTTTATAAACAAACAAATATGGTAACTATTCTTGCATTTTGGGCATGAGAGTTACTGTTATTGAAAAATACAGAAAGCTAAATGTCTCGAAATTCTCCCCCCATGTGGAGTGGGTCGGGTCTCCTAGTGATACTTACCCCTGCCAGCCTACATATGCAAATTTCCCATGTGCCTATTTCAATTCGCTGAGAGGACTTGATTATACATACTGCCCCTTGACCCTCAACAATGCACTGCGACGGAACTTACAGGATCTTCGCTTACAGAAACATCGTGGTTGTCGCACCATCTAGTAAATGTTGTAGTTGGCTGTTGTAAATTTTGCGAGTGGACAGCCGGGCCGCCACGGATGCAGCATCTGCAGAGAGGCACAACACCCTGAAGGATTATTGGACAACGTCCAGCACATCAAGTGATGATCCTCTGGTGCTGAGCAGCGGATCCCTGACTGTAAGGACCAGCGGCTGTCATACCAGGAGTCTTGTCAGTCTTGGAAAACAAAGTTGGCTAGGCCAGAATGGAGCGATGAGGAGGATCGATCCAACATGGCTTGTGTGCTATCTTGGACAGGACCTGCGGGATGAGGGAGGTTGGAGGAAAGGCATACACCAGAAGGCCCTACAAGTCGACCTGTAGGGTGTCCGTCGCCCATGCCCAAGGTTGAGGGAACCTTGAGCAGAATGTCGGAAGATGGGTATTGTCGGCAGATGCAAAGAGGTCGATATGAGGACGCTCGATCTCCGCAAAAATCTGGCTGACCAAATTTGGATGAAGAGTCCACTCTGTCGGATGGATAGCGCCCCGAGAGAGTGCGTCTGCTATGCTGTTTCCCGCTATGTGGACAGCCTGGAGGGTGATCCCTTGATTGCTTGCCCACATGAATAGCTGCCATGTAAGGATACAGAGTTGAGGAGAGCAAGTGCTGCCCTGGTGGTTGATGTACACCACTGCTGTGGAGTTGTCGCTCTAGATTCAAACGGAACGGCCAACTAAATGCTGTCGGAAGTAACAAAGAGCATTGAACACCACTTAGAGTTCCAACATGTTGATGTGCTTACCTAGGGAGGTGGTGTCCCAGACCTCGGAGGCGTGGAGTGGAGAAAAGGAGGCTCCCCATCCGAATAGCAATGCATGCGTCATCACAGTCACGTATTGATCTGGAGGTACAAAAGGAAGGCTGACCGACAGGTGCTCAGTGACGATCCACCATCGAAGGTGACTGCAAATATCCCATGGAAGAGGGACCGGGGTAGTAATCGGGTCGCTCTTGCATGGGATGGTGCCGCATTTGACACCATGGGACAAGGTCGACCAGGCTGGCCATTAAGTCGAGGAGACAAAGCCAGGCTAACGCCGGAGGAGCCTCTGACGACAGAAACTGGAGGACGCACTGACACAAGTTGAGGATGCGCTCTGGCGTCGGACCCACAATGCCTTTGCAGAGGTTGAGGATCGCACCGAGGTAGGTGGCCTCTGTAATGAGTTGAGGGCCGACTTGTCGCAGTTGATGAGAAACCCCACGTGCATCCTGACGTCGAGGGTGAGAGAAGTGCTGGCCTTGGGAACAGCCGATGATTAACCAGTTGTCTAGATATTGAAAGATGAGAACGTTGCGCTGTTGTAGATGGGCGGTGAGTGTCTTGGCAACCTGGGTGAAGACCCTTGGTGAAGTGGAGAGGCCGAACGGAAGAGCTTGAAACTGGTAGGTTTGGCTGCAGTGTTCGAAGTGATGGAACTTGCGGTCCTCCTTGTGTACGGGATATGAAGATATGCATCCCGCAGATCTATGGAGGCGGGCCATCACGGGACTGGTAGGGAGCGCAAGACTATGTTCAGGGTCTCCATCCAAAACCATTTTGGCTTGATGAATCTGTTGAGCAATTTCAAGTTGATTATCGGTCACCACTTTCCCGGTTCTGTCTTGGGTGTCAGGAAAAATGATGCGAGGAAGCCGGTGGATAACTGACTTGGGTGCACCAGCGTGGAGGCTCGCTTGCATAGCAATGCTGAAATCTCCTCCTCCAGAGCCAGGCGCTTGGACTTGTCACATGGAGGGGGAGTAGAAAGGCAAACCATCTCGGACAGCGGGGAGCTCAAGAATTCGAGGGTGTAGCCATGGGCAATGGTGGCGAGGACCCAGCTGTCAGTGGTGATTTCCCACAAGAACCCAATGAAATTGCCCAGACGGCTGCTGACGGGTTCGGGACCGATAGCCGCTGAAGGCAAAGGGGAGTAGTCACCAGCGCCGCCCACCGAAGGGACTGGGGGCACGGTGTGTGAACCTGTGGCTGGCAAGACGTGGCTGGAGTCGAAGAACTGAGTTGAAGTTGGCCTTGTCCCTATCCCAGTTGCATTTGCCGGAATCAGACGAAATCTTGACTCTGGCAGCATCAGGGATATCTTGGTTGACAGGAAGCAAGAGACGTCCTCCCAGGGAAAGCGGTAGTAAGACATAGCTTGGGAGGAGTTGCGCACCAGCGCTTAGCCTTCGCAAGAACGTTCATCATCTCCACGCAGGAGTGATCCAAGGATCTCTGGGAAGATGGGCTCAGCCGATTTGAGGCTTGAAGGGTGACGCTTGAATGGAGTGTGTCGTTGCAGGCGTAGGGTCTGACGATGGGTACAGAGCCCCTAAAGGGAAATCCAAAAAGTTTTTTTTTCGCACGCATGATTTTCTCGTGCACATGACATATTATCTCGTGCACATGGCATATTATCTCATGCGCCCCTTTAGGGGCTCCACAGACTGGAGCCCGTAAACGTGGATCATGTCGCACTCAAGAGTGCGAAGGCAGCCCTCGGGTTGAGTCAGGCCAGCAATATAGTTAATGTTGTCATCCTCGGAAGAGAGCAGTTGAGGGCCCGTGGAGGGGAGAGCCGAACCATGTACCGAACAGACAGAGTCACTGCGATCCAGGACATGATCTGGAGCCAGGTCCTACTGGGGAACAGGTCTGGCTGGACAACATGGACCACTTCAGCCTCCGAGAATGCCCCTTGTGATGGAGGAGGGACGGCAGGGAGGGGATCCGGGTCGGTGCCATCGCTGCTGTTACGGAACTCGAAACTGTGAAAATGCTGTAAAGACATGTCGGTAATTGATAGGCGCTGAGAAAAGAAGAATGAACGTGGTGATGAGACTGCGATGCATTGTGGAGGGTCAAGGAGCAGTATGCATAATCAAGTCTTCTTAGCAATTGTAATAGGCACATGGGAAATTTGCACACATGTATGTAGGCTGGGCAGGGGTATGTGAACGTATGAGATTTGGAGATTTTGTTTAAGAAAACCAGGCTTTGGTACAGAAGGCACGGCTATTGGACCATTCTATCATCTTAAGGGGGTGATAGCAAGATGATATATTCACGTGGGGTAAACTTCCAAAGTTTCATAAAGAAAGTATGATTTTAAACCAGTCCAAATTCTCATTTATACTGTTGGTTATGGTTATGTATCTACTTATTTATTTAATAGTAATCTTAGGCTTATCAAAGGCATGTTGGCAGTTTGTAAATTACCCGTTCATATAGACTTCCAACAGTTCAATGTATCACACACATTTTCGTTGCGCCTATTAATGCTTGCAGTATTTGAACGAATTGTGTTTTCCAAAGATTGTCGTCCGGACGATCTTTGGAAAAAACATAAAATTTCTCTTTTCTCAAAAAAGATGGCATTCCCGGCGATAAGATTTTACAGATTATCTGACACTGTTATGTACTTACTTTACAGTATGATACATGTTTTTCAAGATAATTCGACACTGGCATTTTTGAGATCTTGCAAATCCTATACACTGCCTTTAAGATCTGTAGAAAAATTTTGGTCCACAATAAACATGTATAGTGGCCCTGTCACAAGTCTTGCAGGAGGCATCGACAACACTTTCCCCTTAATTGATATTTTGAACTCAGTTGTTCAGTTTAAATGGCATTTTGTTATAACATCTCATCCACTCATCTGTTTCCAATGGGAATTTATACAAGTTGTGACAATGAGATCGAATTCTTGGTCTGTCTGTATTGCTGTTTTCTAATAAAAAATATACCTTGCCGGTTTCTCTTCCAGAAGAAGCGAATCCCCATGAGGGTTACTGCGACCAGTATGGACACACTAGAAACACATCCCAAGACTATTGCTGCAATGGCAACAGCCCCTGGTCGCAGACAGAATGAAAACAAAAAATATTGTGTTTTTAAACTACTAAAGCAGTGTAATCAGTTTATGGTCCTGCCCTTAAACATCATGGTCAAGGGCAAATTTGAAAGAGATCAAACAAAACTCTGAAATCAAAACCCTCCATCTCTGTTTATGGAGCTTGACTTAGATTTTGTAAATTTCGAAACAACCCTGCCATTTGCAGTTTTTATTAACCAGAACATTTTGAGGATAGTACAGTGTCCTCAGAGAGAGGTTAGGGTATGGCTTTGCAAATCATGGTTGAATATTCATTCCCGTACATAGCCTACTGTTTTGAAATGTGACTGGTTTTACATGCATACCAAGTTTGGTGTTCTCTGTTAGCTTTGGCACATCGTGTCCAGGAAGGGCAGTAGAAGGGACATTTTTCTGAGTCTCGTTCGGGCTTGCAATCAGGTCCAAGGATGACAGAGGCTTTGTAACCTCACCAACCTGGGTGGTTGTGGCCTCTGAAATACAGATGGATAAGTCTGTGAACAGGTTGTAAATATGGTTTTGTTTCACCGAGAGAATCTTGCTTGGAGAGGCTTCAACGTCGGGGCGCCAAAAGAGTGGGCCTAAAGGTTGAAAGAAGGCATCCTCAATGACAAAGTATTTTCAGTCAAAAGTGTAGTAAACAGGTTCTTTTTCCAAGGTTTGATCATATACATGTGAGACTGCTTTAAAGTATATGTAGTTCCATAAATTGCCAGATTATATCTCATCACAGCAGGAAAAATGGGTTTTCAGCGCTGTATCACAGGTCCCGTGATATACAGATTCAACTTTATAATTTACTAGGTTTATAAGCGTTGTTTCTGCTACTTTGAGACTACTCACTCTTGCATGATTGACAGTGCACATCCTTTGAGTCTTGGCAAAGGCGACATGAGATGCATACCTCCTGCACAGGCTCCCAAATGTAGTCAGGTGATTTGTGATACTCCTGACACTTAAGGTTCAGTGCATCTATGATCATAAAGGATTCCAAAGGCAGTGAAAATATGATCCTTTCACCTATGTTCCTAACAGTGAGTTGGTATAAAATTTTCAACAGTGGACGTTTTAACTACCAAACTTGACAATTAAGTAAAAAGAGGCGGAGTACACAGATTTTATTCGGGGATGGGTAGAATAAGTCTGAAAAGATTTCCATTTTTCATTGATGAAAGATTAACTCCTCTTAAGGGAAGGTGCTGATATCATTCCCATTGTGTAGGCGCTTCCAAGTCCTAATAGATAGATCACAATAAAATTGGCATTTCCAAGGGTGGGCGGTCGAAGGAACGTGCCCTCTGCCCAACCCGTATGCCACTAAATGGCCTAGAGCAAAAATATAATCACCATAGAATGTTCTCCCTGCTTTCCTTTCAAATGCATTCCTTTATTCCTTCTATATATTCATTTGTTTCTGGTATTTGTATGCTTCAAGTTTTGTATTTTGGGCAGTTTTTCATTGATTCTTGCAGCCAATCAGTGTCAGTTCTAACATATTGCATGTCCCCTGAAAAACGGCGTATCTAGCTGCGTGGGGAGGGGTGGACCAAATTCGAAAGCGACTGTAGCTTCAGTCTCATTCAACATGATGTTCAGGGGGATCAAAAGACTTACTCAGCTGATATGGTATTCTAAGGGGTTTGGGGATAATATTTGACATACTGATTACTTTCCTTCTTACTTATGGAGTATGCTTTGTTAAAATAAATTAAAAACTAATAATTTGTCGGGGAGGGGGGCAACTCTCCCCCCAAATACGCCACTGCCCGACGATGAAGGAAAATCATCAAAAACAGTGTTGATTTTGATTGGTTTCTTTCCTTTATTTTTCAATTTATTAATTCACTTTTTTGGGGGAGGATGGTTTGCTTTTAAGCTTTCTGACACACGCATGTCAAGGTAAAACGCTGAGGGGTGGCTTAAATTAAGCTCAATCAAAAAAGTAACCGTTAACAATGTAAATTATTTCGAAATTTGTCCTTTAATTTGAGAAAAGTCTGTCTCGAAGTTTGTTTTTCGGATGATTTGTTTTCTCATCGACAGAAAAATCCTTGCATGAGACACTACTGACCAAGAGGAGAATACTGTGATATTGATCACAATTTAAAGGCTTTGGTTAAAGTCAAGAGGTGTGAGCGTCTATAGTTGTTTGATTTGGGCATGACTTTGCCTTCCAGCTGCCACGCCTTCACATAAACTTTTTCTCCACACGTTTCAGAAGAATAAAATCAAAAACAGCTGCCGGTACATCACTCTTTTTTACCAGACAAACACCATTATATTCTTCTCTGTGACGTTGCCAAGTACATGTAGCTAACAAACTTCCATAAATACCTCTAGTAAAAAAATCAGAGCAATCGTAACACATATCAAATAAAACATATCAAATAAAATTTATCAAAATAAAAGGCATATTTGGGATAAATTTCCTTCCAAAGATGATCAGCTCAGTAAACAGACATTCTAAATTCACAACTTCAGTTTCAACTTTTATATACTCAACCTAAACTTAAACCTAACCAACAAACTGAAACCTTACCAAATTACTCTCATGTACAGAGAGAAATCAGACAGGCCTATGGTTTGTTAAATACACAAAAAACGGTATCTACATGTTACTTCACACAACTTCGTAATAATTCCTCATAGTAGGCGTAAAGTCCATTCACATGACAAAACAATCGAACCAATGTGAAGTTCGATGTTTGACATGGATAAGTAACCGTTTGACAATTGACATTCAGGATACACACCCCTAGAAATGATGGAGTGCAAAAGGAAAATAAAAACCACCAAACTGCCAAACCAAGCATGCATATCCATTCACATTGTACAGCCATTTCATAATGATGTATACACACACGACCCTTTCCCACAGAGGCATGGCTTTTTGGGGTCAAACAAGCAAGCCCGGAAATTTAGGTGAATTTTTTTTGTGGCAATATAATTATTTGCAGGAAAAACAGTCAGTTATATACATTCTATGTGTAAGTCTGAATTTTCAAAAATTCAGATATTGGTATTTTTGAATTTGGCAGAAAAAGAACTTCCCAGTGGTATGTACATGGAACACTCCGGGTAAAAGTATAAGGTGACAATGTGACATTTTTCTGGTAGCTTTGTGTCTTTGTTCCCAATATTGTTTCAACATTTCAGACCAGGCATAAAAAATGCTATTGTCAAAATTGCTGAGAAAATTACATTTTTAAATATATGATCATGCAAAATATTTGAAAGTAAATAGGAAATGGGTTACTCTTTCCATATAACAAAGCCCCAAAATTGACATCCACTTCAATTAGTTTTTGAACCCTCAAAATATGAAAAAGCGGGATGCCACTTCACTCTCATTTTGTTGTGACGGGTCACAATCTCCTGTTTTCCTCGAAACTATTTTGTTCAATCGAAATAATAAATATAAAGCCCATGCCCTGGGTCTAAACTTATTTCTTCTGTTCAACATTAAATGTCAAATGAGGAATACGTAACTAACTTCACACCAGCAACAACTGGTACGTTACAAAGTACACACCATAGTATGGTGTTCTATAGCCAACAAAAACATGTCGTGTTGCCGTTGCCCAGATGCCACGACAGGAAGCTGCAATGCCTCCATTGCATTGTGGCGTCGCCTCCTTTCTCTTTACGTTTATGCTGTGTTTAATGTGATGCCGTTGTCATGTTGTATCATGCTGTTGCGTCATTTTTTTCTTGATGGCGTCACATCATGCTGGTGTGTCTTGCTGTTGTATCGTGCCGTCATGTTTTGTCGTCGTAGTGTTGTGTCGGGCCATCACGTTGCCTGTCACTGTACGGCTTTTATACATCACAGTTTAGGCTGTTACGTCCTGCTGTCATGCTGTTGCATCCTGCATGTCGTGCTGTTGCGTTGTATTGTCGTCCGTTGTATCATGCCATTGTGCCTTACTGTTTCTAAAATGGCTGGTGATTATCAAGGCCGGTAGAGGGCATATATGTCACAAGTCCTGGAAAAAATACTGTGCGTGCATTGGGCTGGTGGTATGTATTGGTATGGAAGTTACATTGTAGCTCCGTCTCTAAGGGCGCCCCTATTTCCACCAGTGATGAGGCAACAGTGAGAGCATGATGCGACTGCACGATGTGACGGCACGACGCAACGGCCAAAGGGCACGATGTGATGGCATAACGAGACGGTACGATGCGATGGCACGACACGACGGTACGATGCAATAGCATGACGTGACACCACGACGGCACAATGCAATGCATTAAACACAGCATAACAGTAATAAGAAAGGACGCTACGGCATGACACGATGCAACTTTTGTCTACAGAAGACCATACCATAGGCCTAGGTAGTTCACAGGACCATTATACACAAAATTTTATCTATACATGTATGGTGGAATATAAATAAAATCAGCTATGAATTTGGCATGCACTGCTCAATTCGGTTAAGACACCATGCACAAAGTGAAATACAAGTAGGCCTGCATGTATTATGGTGGAAAAGTCGCACTATATTTTTGACACAGTATCATGTGGTTATCATTCTGATTTATGAACAATGGAAACACATTTTAAAGCTGTTTTTCAATGTCAATTTGAGGTTAAAATAAAAACAAATTACCTAGGTCTGCAGGGGTTTCACTGCTGTAAACTACTTCACTTTCAGGTGGGTCTCCGAGTGGCTCTCTGATTGGTTTGATTGGTGTATCGAGACAATCGCCAGTGCTCGCCAAACACAACAACACGTACGTCACCAACTCCAGTTTCACTGCGGTTTGTAAACAAAAACTTCAATTAAACAGTACATGTAGGGGGCCTGGCCTAACTTGACGATCAAGGAGAGATTTCCACTGAAAATGTGATGGGTCGGTTCAAAAATCTTTACTGACAGTTTAAAATTTTAAGGTCACACTCCAATCCTAACCAAAAAAAGGGGTAGGCCCTAGGCCTTTGAATGACCATCACTCTTATCCAGAATTTGCTTGCTCTGGCACATTTGACTTAAACTCACTTCTGATTTCCTGTTTCGGCTTCTCTCCTCTGAAAATCAAAGCAGGCCAAATCTTATACAGGGCATAGGGGGCCTACCCTTTGGGTGGATATTTTTTTAACTTTGAACTCTACAACAAAGTACACAAGTGTACGTGTACAAGTTTGATTGGATGGAGCTACTGAGGTCATAATAGTACCATGAAAGGTTGGGGAATTCCCTCTCCCAGAATGTTCTCCGCTTATTTCGCAATAGTAGGGCTAAACTTACAAAAAGCCCCTCACATGTAGATCTTCAGATTAAACAGAAAACAAACACTTGGGCTCCCAACCTCGAACTTAAAAGAAGCCTTTTTTACCGACCTACTGAGAGGACTTTGCCTGTAAACAAGTAGGGTGTGACGACCAGTACAAAACAGTGCTCAAATCATTTCGCGTAAACATAAGCAGGGAGTCGAAATCCACCGTATTGATAGGGTGTTGTAGCCCCACAAATAGGGCTGTAGTGGCTCGCTTTTACGACCTGTCTCTTACTGGCGACAGATAAGAGACAGATTGTAAAAAACCAAATCATGCGCGTGCACCTTGTGTCATGTACATTTACCTGTACTGTGTAGTGCCCACACGGAACAACCGACGGTGCACAGTGGCTACTGTTGCTACCAGATAGTAATAAGGTTAACCTATTACTAGTATTAGCAATCCGGCGGGCGCTTTTCTTTGTTTTTTGTCATTTTATTGTATTGACCTGCGAAATAATAAATGAAATAAAAATATCTCTTAGAGTCTAAGAGATATTTTTATTTCATTTTGGGAGTCTAAGTTAGACTCCCAAAATGAAATCGTCACTACGCACTGAGTGCGACTCACTGCGCGCACTATCCATGAAACGTCCTTTTGGTTGTTCCCGAACAGTGCCTTCCATAGAAACAAGTGACAAGCATACATAGTGCACTTTGCCTGATTTATTCGGTCATCTATGTGGCAGAGGGGTGGATTTTTTAAAGGAAATTTATTTATTGGTGCAACGATTTCCAACGATTTGCTTATATCCGGATCCGCTGCAACGAGCGAAAGCAAAGAAATTACGAGCGCCCTCTTTTGCTCTTGACATGAGTCGAGCGAGCTGTGCGCCGCTACAATCTTTGGTTTTTATCTTAAGTGGTGCCTGTTTTTTTTAAGTACAATGTAGCGCGGGTTTTACGAGCCGAGTACCAGTGAGCTAAGGTTGTATTCACTTAGCAACGCGTATGCTGCCCGTACGTACTGTATGTACCGGCTGTATACCGTCATGTAATTAATTGCAACGAAAACTGACCTGAGTGATGGTCTGAAGCGGTTGCGAAAACCTTTTCCTTTAAAACATCAAGAAGTAATGTAGAAAATCCTCTAAAGCAACACCGAAAGACTGATTTACGAGTTGCTTGTTTCAACACAGTGGTGAAAAAGTCATGCAAGTTTGAAAGGTACGAATAGCACAACTCAGTAGTACTAATTGCAGTAGGCATAATAGTAAGCTACTACTACCAGGCCTAATTATGTGACATGCGTTGTATTGCTAATACCACGAGTGATTTTGCACAATGGTAGAAAGGCATTGTTGGAAGGAAAAAGAGCGAACATTGGCCACTTTTCCTTTCCAAAATACCTTTCTACCATTGTACAAAATCACTCATGCGGTATCATCAGCAATAAGGCTTGACTAACGAGTAACATCGTGGATGTCAGCTAGTTAGAAACTGAAATTGGAAATTGTGCTAGGCCTAATTAAGCTAGAGTGAGACTCACTTTGTTAGGCCTAGGCTCCATGCTGTGCTTCTGCCGTGCCAAACTGAAATAGCCAATTCAACATTTTAAAATTTGGCACGGCATTCAGGCCTAGACCTTGTTCAGTTTGGCTCAGCAATTGAATTTCTCACAGCAAGCAAGTTAGGTCGACAGGGTGTACTGCCTTATTGGTGTTCCAAATGGCAGTGCCACGACATCATAGGCCTCTTCCTAGTCCTAGAATTTTTGTTGTTTTGAAATGCTATGGGATTCTGAATGTGCCGATTGATTCTGCCTAAAACTGCACTCTCTCAATTAAATCGTCCCCCCAAAAGCTATTCGAACCATATAATATCTCATTAACAGGCAATCACAATGGTTTTTGGACCATCGAGCCTTTGAGCTATTTTTGGTAAAATTCAGTCCTTTTACTTACAAGTTATACAACCTTACCTCTCTTCAACAAATGAGCTGCACAGGGGAGCGGGTTCGTGTAGCGGTTCTTTCCTTGCTTTGCACCAATGAGGCCCGGGTTTGAGTCCCGGCTTAGCCCAGGCGTTAAGTGCATTTGGTTTCCAGTCCATACTCGCTCTCACAGGTTTTCTCAGGGTACTCCGGTTTCCTCCTGCCTCTAAAACTGGACCTTCTTCCTAACTCCGTAATGTGATGCTGATTAATAAAGTGTATGAATAAACATACAATTATTGGCGCGAATAGCCTGAGATGCTGAAAGTGCCATTAAAACAAAAACAACACCAACAAATGAGCTGCACATTGGAGCTGTATACTATGGTGCATGTCTGTTGACACGGAAGACTGGTTCGAGTCAAATTGACACAACTTATACATTTTTATTCATTGGAATTCTTATTTATGAAACAATTTTCTCCAAATTAAAGAAATTCTTTATTAGAAAATCAGCTTGTTACTCTGGTTCTGGATGAAAAAATGGATTTCTCACATGGTTACTTTTATTTGTGAAGAGTTTTTTTGTCATGATCCAAAACTGGTTAAACTGATCCAGAACCAGGAAAAGTGTTGTCACTTTCGTAGTTCCTGTAAACAAGGCTGTAAGTCCAAATTAAGAGCTTAAATTTTGAAAATAATTGTGTAGTATCTCCAACACAAGGCGGGCTACTGACCACATGTCACTGGAATTTGATTTTTTTTGTAGCTGCAGTCTGACTAAATAATTGAAAACGACTGTACCCCTTGCTTGTACACGAGACTGTACATGAAAATGCTACCAGAACGTTAGAGTATATTGACAATACTACCGTTCAAAAAGAAATCAGCAATAAATAAATAAGTAAAAACTTTTTTTCAAGATGTATTTTTGCGTTGGGGAGATGTTAATTATATATAACAGATTTTGCCCTTACCCAACGTATATATAAGCATACAGTGCTTATTAATATACGTTGGGTAAGGGCAAAACCTGTTATATATAAGTAAAAACTTATAACTTCAAAATAGTGTTGTGAAATTACATGACATGTACTGTTTATCAATTATTAGTTAGCGATTATTGATTATCTCCAGTATTACCTCACAGTGCGCACGGCGACTATCAGCGCGTCTACGCTGTGCTTTCGCCACTACCGGAAACTCATGTACCTCATGTAAACAGCACGCACTTGCTTGCTTGGTCATGCTAGCGCCCTCTTGTGATGGAGTGTGAGAAATTGTGTTCATTACACTGTATGCTGTTTCACTACTTCTTATGTAATTATCTGTAAATGTTGTGATAGAATGTTTTGTTCTTTAGTCTTCATAAAAACAAGCCCAACTAGTATAAATAACGACTCTAGATTGCAGGTCCATTTGGATGTGTGCCAGGAATTAAAGCAGTTGTGCAGTATAGACCTGTGTGATTGCCCCTTTCATTTGCCTGTTTCGACGGCGAACCCACGACAATATAAAAAAAGTCAAATAGTCCCTCAACAATCTACAGCTGGGAAATCTACTCAAATTTCAAAGTTTTCAGGACTAATAGATAAAATATAACTTTCTTAAAAAATAAGTGTCAGGAGAGATTTAAATTTGAATTAAAAATTCAGTGAGGCTTTTTGTTGTTTCTCTGAATGATAGATGAGTTCCAGGAATTCCCTGAGTAGCCGGGATGGAGGAAGGCCGTTTTCGGCTAATCGTACGCAGCTGCCTCCTACGAGGAGGAACGGCCGGCCGTACTATCCAGAAATCAAGCAGAGAGGTTACTATTCAGACATTCTTAGTGGTGATGCAGAGCACAGGCTTGGGGTATGTGTTGCTGAGTTTTTCTGTATTCCAAAATACCCTGCTTTTTGTCATTTAACCCATCTAGAATAAAATTATGTAGAGAAACCTCGGCCATGAAAAAGTCTTGAAGTTGCACCGTTGAGGTTTCTTAAAAAGTATTTATATATTTGTAGTAATACAAATTTTGTGAAAACTTTAATTACAATTTATATGGGTCGTTCTAGAAATTTGTGGTCCAGAAGTGTTGCACTCTTTTGTCCCTGTTTGACATGGATACATCACTGAAAATGACTTCTATTTCTATTTGTTTGTAAATTAATGCACATTTTTGATAAGCACTAGTAAAAATTAGGACATTGACTGCTGTACAGAATTTCAAAGGGGCGTTTCCATTTGCCTAGCGTTGGAATGCATGCCCAGAAATTTAATAGGTACATGTACCTTTCAGGAGTTTGTTTGAACATGAGCATGTCATAGATGTACACCCTCCACACTGCCAGCAGGGTACTTGCTGTATTCTTCGGTGATGCCACTGTATTCAATTCACATAACCATAGCCTTTCATTTTGTACGAGTATGCTCTTAGTCGCAAAATCAGATCAAGTCAACGTGTTAAGAGGGTGTTCTTACCTTACAAAATCACGGTAGATGTGACAGAAATACCAAACAGACATTAGGTCCCAAATTTATAGTAACTTTATAGTCACAGCATAGTATTTAAAGTGATTGTTCAGTGAAGCCCCATACATGTAGCTTATTGATTAATCACTCTCCTGTTCCCAGAATGTATTGAGTGGTGCAGAGACTCAACAGGACACATTATGGAACATAGCCAAGGAAAAGCACACACCCATGGTGACTTCCTTCAAGGGTCCCAAAGGACCAGAGCAGGCCAAGGCCGAACTGAGCAAGCAGGTCTACGGACCCACAAGCGAGATATTGACAAAATCGGTACGAAAGTGATTACATGTACCTTTAAATGTGGCTTCATTTGTTTTGTTCTGGCAACTTTTTAGTGGTATGTTAAGAAAATTGAGCAAAAGATGCACTGTTTTACACCTTAGTGTTAAGCATCAGATGCTCCTGTACTTTGAAAAGCTTTGAAATCATTCCTTCTCCTTTTGTGCCAAATAAGATTTTTTTTTCACAGATTTGCGTAATTTGCTCTCTCTTTTTTGAGAACAAATTTATTATTCTTCTCACTCTTGGCTTTTTATTGTTCTTATTGAAAGAAACTTATTTCACTTTTATAAGCCGCTACTTTACTAAAGTTTGAGGTTGTTCTAATAAATGTTCTTCATGGTAAAACTTAAGAAGTCTGAATTACCTGAGCTTTGTCCTTCTTGTTTGCAACAGGATTTCCCTGAGAAGTCTTTCCTTCCCAAGGTGCAGCTGCCGTTCTTTGTGGCCCCTGGCCAGTGCCCACGCAAGATCGAGATCGAGCGGCGCAAGCGCCACTATCAGAGCCAGATGCTGGAGGACCTGCTGGCGGCCGAGGGGGTGCAGACCGAGGCCCTCATGCCCAAGCAAATCACAGAGAAGAAGCTCTCAGTTCAGCTGAACGGGGTGGACGGGGACGAGGACCCAGCACCCTTCCCGACGTTCCTGCCGCTGGACATTTTCACCGACACAGAGTTTGATTGCCGGACGCCCGGGGAGTGGTTGGAGATGGGGGTGGTGAACAGCCACCGCCTTCCGGTGCCTGGCCGGGCTCTCCTTCCTGCTTGGGATTCTCCTGAGAAATGTAAGTTTGTAGACTTTTACAGAAGAATGGACCTGAAGACTTATCCAAGATTGCTGTAAGCAGGGTGGCCTTGCCATTTACTGGAATGGTCATGTTGTATCAGAGATCCCACAAGACCATTACAAGACAATCATACCACCAAGACGTCACGTCTCAATTCAAGTCACAAGCAAGTCCAGTGGACTACATCCGACACACGCCTTGTACATTTATCCATGCATTGTTCCCGGCCAGGAGAATGGTCTTGGGCATTCCTTACAAGTGGTCTTATGTCTGGTCTTGAGACGGGTCCACTACAACCCTGCCCCTGCTGAACTTTCGAAGAGGTTAATCCATACAGTCCAGTCACATGTCTAGAACTTTACAAAATGCACTTACACCCTGTATTCCAGCCTGTAGTGACAGGCAGTACAAGGGGTGTCCCAGCATTAGCTAAACAATATAACGGCAGTGGCAAACTTGGAATTGTCTGTAAAATACTGCTTAAATAGAATCCACAAAAGTAATTGAGTGTCTGAGGTTATCCACCACAGAGATCAGTGGTATGGATTATAGATAACAAGTACGGTGCTCAAAGGGACATTTGTAGGAAACTCTGCACAAAAAAAAGATAGTCAGTGTACATGGGACACTATTTATGCCTACTGAGTGAAAGGATTGTCAGAGCTTGTATCAACCTGACAAAGTGTAGAATCAATGCTCATAGTTCCTTTTCTTGTTTTAATCCAGAAACCTTGTCTTTGTACTTTTGCTGGCAGTGGATCCCAAGGACCCAAGCCTGGAGTACGAGTGGTTTGATGTGGGCATGCTGGACTATGACAGGGAGACCCAGCTCTACCTGGTGCAGAAGACAGACCTGAACAACAGGATCTTGGATGAGAAGGGGCAGGTAGTCATCAACGGGGGTAAAAATGCCGATGGTACGTATGTCGGCCCAACTGCCCATTATTTGTACCCCTTTTGAATTGTCTTGAACAAGTCTTCCTCTTTCATTTTCTTTGAAAATTTCTTCATAACAGCCAAATTTCTTTGCCATGTTGATTCCAAATGCTGAACCTGCTAAAATTTGATACTATACTAATGCATTGTGCATGTGTTTTGTGCTTGAACTGTAAAGTTATGAGGGTCTGGCACAGAAACACTGAGTTTATGGTTTGAAGCATGGGCTAAAATCTAACACAAAAATGGCGCAAAGTTAAAGCATCCTGTTTTAAAGATGGCATGCATTTGTTGACCTGAGAGCAACTTGTCCCAAACTTCAAAACTATTTGTCATAAATTTGCCCCTTAACCCTCCTATGCTGAAGTCACTCTTTGGGTCACTTGGTAAACACCTCAAAGAAGCACAACTGTGTTGTGTTGTGCACTGCACCAACATGCAAGAGAGTGACCTTGGGCACTTGTGCATATTTGTGCTGTAAAACTAAAGGAGGGTTAAATGAGAGACTCACAGTGCACCTATTAAGCCTCATCCATTGAGCTCAGTCCAACTGTACTGGTACATTATTCCCTCCCGTGAATACCCTTTAGTGTGAGATGATTTGTGAACCACTCTATCCATGTGTTGAAGTGTTTCTGTACAGTCTTCTGAAGGGCCATATGGCACATGTGATGTGCATTGCAACATGGCAAAGAATCCAACTGCTTAATACCCTGCATATCACACAGTGAAGATACTCAAGGGTTTTGAAAGGTATGGCATATTCTCCAGCGGTAATTATTTGAGTCCATCACCAGTCCCTGCAAGTCTGTCACCAGTCTGTCATAAGTCCATCACAAGTTCATCCCTAGTTTACCACAAGTCCTCCAGTCTTATGCTAAGTCACAAGCTATTCAAACACACGGTGACAACAGTATTCTTTTGTCACTGTTCACCCTGTTACTTATGACTAGTCCAGTGAAAAGAACTTGTGATAGATTTGACTACAAACTGTTCTATGGATGATTGCTTTTAAGGGGTTTCAATGTGTGTGTACTAATTCTATGGGCAAAAGTTTGGAGAATCAGGGACAAAAAGCATGAAGTCTGATACCTCTCCTTCTCCAGGAACCCGCAGCCTGCAGGCCAACCAGTATTGGGTGCCCCGCATCCAGCTCATGTTCCTAGCTGAGGATCCCCAGGTCTTTGCCAAGGCGGTGGCCAGTGCCCACCGGGCCCGCAGGCACACCGAGGCCCTGCTGAGGTACCACCTATATGTGGACTGCATGCCCATGGAGGGGCTGGTGGAGCTGGACCCGGAGAGTCTGAAGAGGATGGTGGAGTGGGCCAAGGGAGCCCCTGCCCTGGCCAAAGATAAGAGGTCAGGAGTGATGAAATTCCTGGACATGCTTTTTGTACGACTTTGCTCATTGAAAATGTGTCATTGAAAATCTTTCTGTTTGGGACCATTCTCTATCAAAGAAATATGATTGGCTCCACAGTGGGGGAGGAGTCATAATGGGAGGGGGGTGCAGTCCACTATATGTTACCATCAGACCTGCATCACTCACAACATACTGTGCACAAAAGCTTACGTAACTACAACTCTTCCGTGCAGAATTTCATTGGAGGTTTCTTTGGGAAACGGCCGAATTCCTTCAGCGAAAAATTGATTGTTCAAGACTTTTCCATAATTTGATTTAAGATTTCATGCCTTTGATATACTAATTATGAGTTTTTACTGGTCCCATAGGTTTACTAAGCAATAACATGTATGGTGGTACTGTACTTTTGTAACACAAGTGTTCAGTTTCAGGTTTTTGTGCGGGTTCATCTTTGTCTGAAACAAAATCTGTATATTGACCTCGTGCAGTTTGGACGACTACATCCACACGTTAGAGAAAGAGGTGAACATCGATTTCAGCCGAGCCATGAATAGGATCACCTTTGATCGGATTGTCCAGTCCAAACCAGACATGTTTGCTTTTGTCACCGTTCCAAACCCTGTTGTTGAGACAGTGCCAGAAAGAGGTGTGTAAAAAAGGCTAACTTTTCAAGCTTACATCTTACACCAACAGTTCTTGTAAGTGATCTTTAGTCATAGACCATCAATTGTTTGTACTACCTTATCCAGAACTGTAAGTTCACCTTCAGTATCAAATAGAAAATTTCTGAAACAAATGATTAAAACTATGACTTTGTTGATGCGTGGCAGAAAATCTTACAGTCCATCAAATGTTACGCCACTTCTTCCGCAGGTTTTTATGCAGATGTGCCTGAGTATCCCTTTGATGAGCAGTACGACAACTTTGCTTTCAACTCCCTGCTGACGCGGGAGGAAGCCATCGTGGCCATGACCAAAGTCCGGACCGAGTGCAACAAGGTGGCGGCCATGTCGCTGTTCCACGTGCCCATGAGCAAGCACATGAGGCTGGAGGAATTTGAGCAGACGCAGGGCCAGGCCAGTTCACAGGTGAGTCGGAGAGGGGAGGTGGACAAGAAGGGGTGGTGGTAAATGTTGGGGGTCAGGGGAAAAGGATGGACAAGGGGAGGGAGTGCTGTTAGCAGAAGTATTATTGGTTGGCTGTGCTAGCTCAGAGATAGGGAGGGGGAAGTGGGCCAATGGGGCAGGCTAGCGTTCAACATTGTCTGCTTGAAATGCAATCCTGTACCCTATCAAGGTAGGTGCAGAGCAGATCACCTTCAAACCAGTTATATGTAACGTGCCTCTCATGCTATGTTAATGTTTATTTTGCAATTCTCAATTTGTGGGGTTTTTTTTGCAAAGTAATTGCCCAAATAGTACATTTCTGTGTACAGGCTGGTCTCCTTAAGAAAACATACTAACATTGTTCTTACTTTAAGCCTTGCTCTCTGAAAGGCAAAATGCTCTCCAAGATTTCAATGAAGGTGGACACCATTTCCAGCATGGTTGTAGTACGATGAAACAGATATGACGGTAGATCAGCCGTTGCGTAGGTCCTCTTTAATTCCATTATCTCAAACACTGAATGGGCTCATAGTGTGTGTTCAGATCCAGTCTTTTCAAATCAGTTCAACTCAGTCAAATTTCGCAAATTTTACACTTATTTAACGTGGAATGCTTTTCTACTCGCCCCCAGGTCCAACTCTTCCTGAAGGACAGTTGGATAGGCACCCTGCGGGCAGCCATCCGGACCAGCCTGCGGGACGTGGGCAAGGGCTGGTTCAACTTGCACGAGACCAACTGGGAAGTCTACCAGCGTTCCAAGCTGAAGAAATTTATGGAGATGGTTAAATTTTGCATGCAGGTGAGCAGGATGGATAGTGGCCTTGGTGGCACAGTCACTGAAACTTAATAAAACCGTTTTGGTGCAACAGAGGCACAAATTGAGCAAGATCTTCGTCCTCAAACCTTCCTTACTTGGATGTTCCTGTCTGGTACCCTGTGATTTTAAAGACAAAGAAGAATTTGTTGAAGTCAAAAGGAAAGGGAAGTGAATGAAATTTCAGACACAGTCAGCAGTGATTACTATTTTGAAACTATCCAGTGTTTACAACTTGTTAAATACCCGAAAAAAGTTGATTTAGGTAAAATTGCACTGGATACCCATAGTTCACCCCATTTTTTCAATAGTTGAGCACTTTTTGAACTTCAGACATCTGTAGGAAAGTCCTCTTTTACCTCCCTGAAGTGAGATATTCTGATCATGAAATATGTTATTTTCCAAGTATAAGTAACTGTGTGGTTCTCCTAATGTTTCAATGTCATCTGTAATACATAGGATTCCTTGAGGTATTTGGTGCAAGACTCTCTGGTCAACTTCACCCAGATGATCCTGGACGCGGCCTGCGCTGTCCTGACTCTCCCTGCTGACTTAGAGTGGGATAAGGACCTCATCAAGGTCAAATACAGGTCAGTGTTTTGGAATGCCAAGCGTTCCCTTTTCAACACCAAAATTCACTTCCTGAGAAGTTGAGTTCTCTCACTGTGTCCCAAACTTATGTTTCCAAAATGAAGTTTCCAAATCAAAATAAAATTAAATATCTCGCCAAGGAGAAAAACGTCCTGGAGTCATCCAGTAATGGTCAAAGCTTGACTCCAGTGAGAGTCTGCAGTTAGGACGAGACAAGGCAGCTGACGGAAATGATTTTTCCAAGGCAGATTCCCTCCCCTCTTTCCCTGCAGTTCAAGGCCTTTTTGGTTTACACCTGGTTGGTTGTGCTCTTGGTGTGGGTTTGGGGGACCAAATAACTGTGCCCTGGACAATATTAATGATGTGTGAAGCAACTCTATCATCATGTTTGTTAAGTATGTATCGTATATTCTCCACATCAACTTCTGTCGTTGTGATGGTTAGTTATTCTGGCATTTTCAATATTGCTAAGCTTGGCCTGTCCTTGACCCAGTAAATAAGTCAAAATGCACCTAAAGAGGAAAAAGGAAATGGTTATTCTTTACATCGCAGACCCAAGAAAAATTGCCTGTTTCTGGTGGACCTGATTGTGGACAAGGAGGGATGTCATTACAGCACCAACCTGAACAACTTTGAGACAGCCTTAGTGGGTCTGTTTGACAAGGGAATAGCCTCCACCCAGAATGTTCCACAACTCGAGAAGGTTGGTTGCTAGACCTCATTTGTCGATTTTGCAAGCAACTGTTATTCCCTGCACATTCACCATGCTATACTGGCAAAGTTTCATTGTATCTCTCTGTCGCAGAATCTTCTTTTCAAGCTAGTGTCTAGTGTGTATTTGGTTGTTTTTATGTAGGCCTCCGAGCGCCTGCATGATTCATTTAACACTACTGTCAGTGGTACTCTTTGCAGTCTAACCCAACCCCTTGACTTTCAGATGTTAGAGTATTCAACTTTACAAAGTATATTTGCAGTTCCATGTTGTTTGTTTGGACCTTACCAGAGTAAAACCTGTTTCTTCTGTCACATTCTCTGGAAATTTCTGTCTTCATATGTAATAGACTATCATAACTCATTCAGGGCGACGCTGAACTTGAGTTTCCACTTCAATGTGAGGATTTCTTTGTATGGCAGTTTCAAATATTGATCACCTCATGCCAAAAAAGCAAACACAAGTCCACAACTGTTTCTTGCAGACTGGGATGGCAATGTTGTGTGTTCCATTTTTGTGACACTCAAAGCTGAGGAGAAGGAAGTTTTAATAATGATATACTTTAAAAGACTAGATTACACCTAAGAACTGAGCTTACGGCAAGGTTGAAGCCAACATGTTCTACTACCCTCAACCTTGAGATTGATTAACCGGTAACCTCTCCCGCTTTCCTTCCTCCTGATGTACAGTTTGTCCTGGAGGACATCTTCTGGGCAGACACGCCCCTGCTGGAGTCAGTCGGGGAGCACGAGCCCAGAGTGGAGGAGCTGAGAGACACCATACGGGACGCCATCCGCAAGGCCTTGGTCCCCATGAAAGCCTATGCCCGGGCCTACGAGCAGTTCCTGGAGCTGATGAACCTAGACATCAATGAGTACATCAAGTAAGCACAGATTACATCTGTCTTCTCCTTGTCAATGCCAATTTCTGTAGAGCTTCCAAACACAGGATCGTGCTAAGCCTAGAACAGATTTGTCAGAAAAGATTAACAGGAACAGCTAACCAGCCAAAGTATCATGTGATGTCTGCTGGTGTTTGCTGTTACCCTGCTGGTATGAAGGCAGCGTAGAAATTTGGCCTTAAACAGTGTTGTTTGCATATGCCTATCCATATCACTTAGCCCTGGCCCGCTAGCTGCTAATTTGCAGTTATTAATGATTTTGTAAGTTTCAGTGTTTGTAGACTTTGCTCGGTGAAAGATGCACAAATGGAAGCTACCAAGTCAAACGCCCTTTATGATATACAACTTAGAAAATTTTCAGTTCTACATGAAAACTTTCAGTCAAGAGAACATGAGTAAATAAAGTAGAGTTCATTTGCCAGATTTTGTCAGTGTAGACTGGTAACCAGTTAGCATTTTTTCCATTCAGGGAATATGACTCCAAGGAGCACACCGCTGCTGAGGTCAAGAAGGAGATTGAGAGCCACTTGGTCCAGAAGGAGATCTTGGAGAACACCATTCCCAGCAATTACACCATCGGGCCCTTCTACATCAGCACGGAGAGTGTCCGGCAGGGCCTGGCCAAGAAGCGCAAGGCCCTGGCCAATGCCCTGCTGGAGCTGCTGGCCCAGAAGCTGCGCAAGCAGGCCGAGGACGTGAGTTCTTGACAGTGTTGTCATTGAGCCTATTACGAGTCCCTGCAAGTTCCGTCACGAGCCCATCACAAGTCATCTAGTCTTAAGCCAAGTCATAGGCTGCTCAAATGAATTGTGACAAATGCGCCTTTTCCATTTCTCACCCCATAGCGTATAACTGATCTTGTGTAAGGGACTTCCGTCTGGTTTGCGACGGGCTTAACTACAATGCTTGTTCTCAGTGATGTAGCAGCCACGATGAGGGGGGGTGGGACGAATCCTACTGGGCTGCTAGTTCTGAACTGTTGCTGTTTTGTTGTGTTGTGTGTTCACTGTTCACAGCTTTATTTATATAACATACCTCATCGTGCCTGCTCGGCCACATACCATTTCTCTGGTAGCTCAGGTTTGTAAGAGTTGAGAATTTTGCCTAAGTTCTAGACTTGGCAATATCTCTTCAAAATGGCTTCTGTTTTCAACTTCTAAACATTCTCTCTCTCTTGGTTGCGCCTGAGCTTAAATGAAATGCGTCGCTAAGAGCATTATCCTTGTTCCGTTTTAATCTGCAATCTCAGGCGTGCGAGGAGTTCAAGTTCATAGCCCGCAAGCTCTACGAGCGGCCCAACTGCATCGAGGACCTCGCTGAGCAGAAGGAATGGATGGCCACCATCCCGGACAAGTTGAAGGAGCACCAGGAGCTGATTGACAAGGCCATGACGGACTACGAGCTCATCGAGGAGTTCTACTACAACCTGTCCACGGATGACTTCAACCTCAAGTAAGTGTAAGAGAAGGGAAAAGGTGTACTTCTGTAGCCGGTATTGATGGACACCGAATGAGCAACCCCAAAACTTAGGTCACCCCAGCTCTATTGTTTCTGTTGCCTGAAGTGTCCTTTACCCATGGAGGGACACAACAGGGTCATGGGTCCCCCAGAAAAAAAGAAAGGGAAATTTTGTGTGTGTGTGGCAGCAGGGTCAAAGGCAATTTGCAAGGGAATTGTGCAGTGGCACTATGCTGCCTACGGTTCACGTATTTATTCCACAGCCTTGTTTTCGAACCTGTTCATGTATATATATCTTTGCTGTTGCCTCTTTTCAATCCCAACAACCTGTTCGTGTATATATATCTTTGCTGTTGCCTCTTTTCAATCCCAACAACCTGTTCATGTATATATATCTCTGCTGTTGCCTCTTTTCGATCCCAACAACCTGTTCATGTATATATATCTTTGCTGTTGCCTCTTTTCAATCCCAACAACCTGTTCGTGTATATATATCTTTGCTGTTGCCTCTTTTCAATCCCAACCCAGGTGGAATGCCATTGGTTGGCCTCACAAGATTGAGATCCAGATGGAGACCACGTTTGCCCAGCTGGAGGAGGACAAGGAGCGCTTTGAGAAGATCCAGCTCACAGACCAGAACAACTTCACAGACAAGCTGGACACCCTGCAGGTGGGTACTCTAGCTGGCGTACCCTACTGCTGATTCACTTGCAGCTCACCTGCAACCCTGACAGTTGTTATCCCTGATATCCTACAGAACAGAACAACTGCTGGGTGTCTTATCAGAGTAACTATTGTATGAAACGAAATCAATCTTTGGCTAGAACTCTTCATGGTTTAATAGAGCTACAAATAAAGAAATCTGATGGAAAAGTTGAAAGTGCAAACAACAAGACAAACAGAAGACAACATAACAATCAGACAAACAGAAGACAACATAACAATCAGACAAACAGCAGACAACATAAAAAGTAGGAATCAGAGTCACAATCAAGTCACCACAAGTTAATCACAAGCCAATTTCAAGTCGTCACAAACCAGTCACAAACCAACGACAAGTGACCACGAGCCAATCACAAGCCAGTCATAAGGCAATCACAAGCCAATTACAAGACAATCACAAGCCACTCACAAGTTGATCACAAGTCATTACAGGCCAATCACAAGCCATTCAGCCTCTAGACATGTCATAAACTGAGCAGGTGCACAAAGGCATTCCTACGTCGTCGGCCCTTCCCTGTTGCCCCTGTATTTGCCGCTTTGATCACACTTGTGGTTGGTCTCCCGATGGACTAGATTACAACTCCGGTTAGCACACCTTGTTCTTGGAATGTTGCCATTCTTAGTTGGCGATGCATGCTGTTCCCCGTCAGCTTGATGTTGCTGCATGAGAACACCTGTCGACTGACGAGATCCTTTTTCATTTATTCTCACAGATGGTGGTTGCTGGCTTTGCAGCTCACACAGACATCAACAAAGCCCACGAGGTGGCCAATGAGGTGCGGCGCGTCAACAAGCAGATGAAGGAATGCCAGCAGCTGGCCTCCATGTACAACAACAGAGAGCGGCTGTTTGAGATGCCCATCACCAACGTGAGCCAATTTTCCTGTGTTAAAATTCCAACTTCACATTGGCTCAGTGCAGGCACTGTTGAGGGCCCTCTCTGTCCTATTCTTAAGGATGCACAGAGTGCATTTTTGGGGCAGAATCGAACATTTGAACAGAAGGCCAGCCAAATATTTACACACTTCCGACGTAAGAGGGAAGGTATTTTGGGCCTTTGCAGATCTAATGTGTATTGTTAAGGCATCTGATTCAGCAGTAAGGTTCCACGATAATATGATTCTGCCGCACTACCACCATGTCAGGAAGTCTTGTTGCATTAAACATGGGAACTGAAACAGTCCATACAACTCTTGGTAATGTTAATTCCTGCTGTTGACATTCTGGAAATGGTTTGTTTCATTTGTGCCAAGAGACTTTTTTACAAGTGCTGCAGAACCTTGCCCAAGATGAAGATTATCTGAAAGTCTTTTTGCAGGTAGTGGAAAGTAATTTTTAACCCTTGAATTTGAGAAAAAAGTATTCTTGGATTTGTTTCAGTATGACAAACTCAGCAAGCTGGTGCGGGACTTTGAGCCCTTCAAGAATCTCTGGATCACCACCTCGGACTGGCTGAAGTGGCACGAGAGCTGGATGAATGATCCGCTTACCACCATCGACGCGGAGCAGTGCGAGAAGCAGGTCAGCGAGTCTTTCAAGACCATGCACAAGTGTGTCAAGATCTTCAAGGACATTCCAGGTGAGATGTTTGTCCACTGTTGTGGATCAGTACGTCACTGTTGCTGGGAAAAAATGGAGAATTCCTCACATGTGTCCATGAAGTTGTGGAGCTCTGAAGCCTTAAAATCTGCTGAAGATACTTCAGAGGCAGAAGGAAAAGTCTGAATGGATATACCATACTTAAGTTTTGTGCTGTGGGATTTTGATCATCTTTAATCAACCTCCTCTCTGCAGGAGTCCAGCTGGTGGCCCAAGAGATACGGCGCTGGGTGGAGGAGTTCCGTCCGTACATCCCCCTGATCCAGGGCCTGCGCAACCCGGGTATGCGCAGCCGGCACTGGGAGATCCTGTCCAAGGAGCTGGGCTTCACCGTGGTGCCCAAGGCCTCGCTGACCTTCAGCAAGTGCCTGGAGATGAAGCTGCAGGAGCACATCGAGAAGATCGCCAAGGTGGCGGAGATAGCTGGCAAGGAGTACTCCATTGAGCAGGTACAGATCTGTGAAAAAAACTTGGCTGGTTCTTAGCAGAATTTCATGCATTCGGATTTCAGTTGATCCTAATTTGAGACCTGCTTGGGATGAAATATAGATTAGTGTCATGGGCCATCCAAATGCCAAGAAAGTCAGGATGATTTCAGGAATGCTGTTCGATCTTGATTTGTATGAGTATTAAAAATGATGTTAGCACCTTGACAGCTTGCACTGGCTCATCTGTGTACGTCGTTAGAACATAAGTCGTAAAAGCAACCACAAAATCAGTTAGGCAGCTAGAGGAAGGTCTTGCACAGTCTCCCCTTCTGTACTAAACGGGAAGGGTTTATAGACCTTACGATTTGTTTGAATGAGGAGATGGTTGTCGTTCGACTGTAACCAGCCAGCATTTGAAAACCAATGTCCATATCAGCCTTGAAGCAAAAAACATGACGTCCAAGTTGTTACTGTTTTTATACTTGTACATGTTTTTGTGTAACAAACCAAGGTGCCCAAAGTGGCCCACAGGATGTCTGAAAGATGTCCAGATGCCCCCTAAAAGCATTGAGTGTAACACTGAAATTGACAACTTCTCGGTAGGCTCTGGACAAGATGGAAGGGGAGTGGAAGCCGGTGGTCTTTGAGATCATGCCCTACAAGGAGACGGGCACCTTCATCATGAAGGGCTCAGATGAGTGCACCCAGCTGCTAGATGACCACATCGTCATGACACAGAGCATGTCCTTCTCCCCCTACAAGAAGCCGTTTGAGGAGCGGATCAGTACCTGGGAAGGCAAGCTACGCATGACACAGGTAGAGCTCATGTGATGTTAGCCGTAAAATTTAGACAGATTTGTGTCTTTGAATACTTTTGGATTACGTTTCCTACATTGTTTCTGACAGTCAGCATTACCATGCCCTTTCTAGTTTCAGAGATGCCATTATTATTCCCAATTAACGTTATGTTAATGGCTGCATACCCGCGGGTAATAGTAGTTTATTTTACTTTTGTAGTCCCTGACCCACATCTTGTTATGTATTCAGATTTTCGTCCCTGGTCCCTTCTACTGCTTCTGTTTACTTGTATATGCATTTTTGTTGTTTTTATATATTTTTTGTTCAATTTTGCTTTGTCTGTTCTTGTGATGGTCAAATAAATAATAATAATAATAATAGTTATTTGAGGATCTCATAAATGTTGTTCCTTCTTGAAAACCCTCAGGATGTACTCGATGAGTGGCTTGTGTGTCAGAGGTCGTGGCTGTATCTGGAACCCATCTTCAGCTCAGATGATATCAACAGGCAGCTGCCAGTTGAGGGCAAGCGGTACCAGACTATGGACAGAATGTGGCGTCGCATCATGAAGAATGCCAAGGACAACCCACAGGTTCTTAGAGCTTTCCTTTTCTACTTGATTTATGGAAATTACAACTAGAGCACTGTATGAATTGCATGTTGTCAGTGAATTCTTTAAAATAAGAATTAAAAGTGCTCCGGAGTGCTGATTCCTTGTTAAAGTTTTGGATAAAGAGCCACATTGTGTTTGAAAAGTGAAATGAATCTGTGAAGACCTTGCTGTTATTGAAAATTGGGCATTAGAAATTTTTGCCAATCGATCAAGTCTACCCTCCGTTGGATAGTGGAAGTTGGAGCTGATTGACTGGTAAATGACTTTGATTCAATGATAGACATTAACTAATTTGTGACCTCCAAATCCTCTTCTGTCTTCCTCTCAGGTGATCTCACTGTGTCCTGACGCCCGCCTCCTGGAGAACCTCAAGGAGTGCAACAAGCTCTTGGATCAGGTCCAGAAGGGTCTTAGTGAGTACTTAGAGACCAAGCGGGCCTCCTTCCCACGCTTCTACTTCCTCTCCGACGACGAGCTCCTGGAGATCCTGTCGCAGACCAAGGATCCGACGGCAGTCCAGCCTCACCTCAGGAAATGCTTTGAGAACATTGCCAGGGTACTGCAACTTTCTCTGTCAGCTACAGTGGTAGACTCTAATTGTTGCAAGTTTCTGGTTCCAGTGCATTCTGAGGTTTTGTTTCAAACTGAAATCGTTCCAAGTGGTCGAGAACCACAATGGAGATTTTGTTGGTCAACCTTTTGTGCGAAAGCTAACACAGAGCATTGTACTAGTTATGGAAGTATGCATGAGAAGAAACCGAGATAAATTTTGAGACATTACACCTAACCGTTTCAACTCTTTGCTTCCCTAAATGTTGCCACTTCAAACAAGCCCACATAACACTTCATTCATTTTCGCATGCCCGACAATGCACACAGTGCAGTGGTGTAGTTGAGTTGATCACAAGTCTCTTCACTAACCCAGCTATAAGTATTAAACAAGATTGACAATGACAAAGGAATAGTTTTTGTCACACTTTATTTGAATAGCATGTGACTTAGCTTGAGAACAGATGATTTGCGATGGACTCGACAAGGGAACAATGATGCTCTTTCAACAAAGGATGAATGTAGTGTTGCAGTTCCAACATTCTGTCGTTGTCCAAAATACTAATCTGTTTTTCTCCCCTGTGCAGCTCCAATTTGAAGATGACCTCCTGATCACCAAGATGTTCTCGGCCGAGGGGGAGGTGGTTCCCCTGTCGGAGCCCCTCTACCCTAAGGGTAACGTGGAGGATTGGCTGCTGGAGGTGGAGCGTGTCATGATGGACAGCATCCGGAGAATCCTGGGGGAATCCCTTCAGAAATATCCAGAGGTGAAGATTATTTTTGAGGGGGGTTGTGACCGTGGCTGTTGCAACGCTTGGCCACAAAATGGCACAGATCTGAAATGTCACTGAGGAGAGGCTCTCACAGTTTCTGTAATGTGGGAAAAAAATTGTAGGACTTGTGAAACAGGTATTTTGGAAATTTTGAGGACAATTTTTTGGAGATAATTTTCTAAGTTTGTAAAATTCATAACCAGTTTGGGAGAACATATTTTTCACACAACAGTTGTTAAAACACTTTCTGGGGTTTAGACGAAGGTATTTCATTTGATTTATGGTAGCTCTTGGCCATTTATCACCAATTACTTTCATTAGATGACAAAATGAGTTAAGGCCACTAGGTTAAGAAAATCCTGTGCCTCAAGCACTTTCAAAGATTTATTAAAGTACTAAACTCCAGGTAGTGAGTAATAAAGTGATAAACCTAATCAGCAGTGCTGTTTTAGCTCATGGAGAGAAGAGGTATGATCACAGTGTGCCGTGTTACTCAGGGGCAAAATCTTTCAAATTCTCAAATGTTCTGACTCATTCCTGTTGAATAAGCCTTTTGCGAGTTAAATTTGAATAAAATCTGGTACGATGAGTTATCTGATTGCACATAAACATAACAATTTGAATTTCCCGAATCACAAGGTATAGCAACAATGGGTTTAGTATGGAAAATCCGAAGCTTTATGTTCAGGTGAATTAATTCAATGTACCAGATTTTATTCAAATTTAGCTCGCAAAAGGCTTATTTATTCCATCAATCAGATCCTGTGGTGCATCATTGTGTAACTTGAATCTTTTCTCCCCCTTTGTTTTGGTAGACGCCTCGCCCCAAGTGGGTACTGCAGTGGCCAGGTCAGGTAGTCATTGCTGGCTGCCAGACATTCTGGACCAAGATGGTAGAAGAGGCAATCCAGGAGGACAGGCTGGTACAGTTCCTGGAGGTGCTCAAGCAACAGGTCAATGGAATCCTATTTACCTTTCCTCTGTCTTAGATAAGAAAAGTCAGATGATGGCCGGTGTGTCAGCCCATGCCCCCTAGACATTATTGCCTAAACTTGTGCCAGAAACCTTGGCATATCTTAACACTTGTTTTTTTAAGGAGTATCAAGACTTTTGTAAGATGACAGTGGCTGGGCTCCTCCTCAAACCTCCAAAACTTCCTGGTAGCATTTGAAGGATCCTAACCCTGGTTTCCTGGATCTGGTTTCCTTTTATAAAAAGCTCTTTCCTTGATGCGCATGGTCAACTTCCAGTACTTAACACTCATACATAGCATTCTTAGGTAACAATTTCTTTTTTCTTGACTATGCACGATACCAGCCAAGCAGGCTGTAGTGACCAAAAAATCATGGCTTCCTAGCAACCAGTGAAGTGAGAACTCAGAAAGCTGTACAGATGGTCACCTGTCTTCACTTGCAAGGCTTTTGGATGCTAAAGCTAGTCTTTTCTTGGTTCAGTTGATGACGCTTGAGCGTGTTGGTACTTTGATCCCACAGATTGCAGACCTGGTCAGCCTGGTCCGAGGCGACCTGAGTAAGATCGGTCGCATGATTCTGTCCGCCCTCATTGTAATCGAAGTCCACGCCCAGGATGTAGTGGCCAAGATGTGCGAGGAGAAGGTGGCCAACATCAACGACTTTGAGTGGATCAGTCAGCTCAGGTAACTCAGGGGAAACGCAGAATATTGCAAGGCTTTTTGAAGGGAAATTTCATATTGGGGAAATGTAAGGACTTAGGATTTCCCCGAACAGTGTTTTCCTCGGTGTCTCTGCACCAGTAAAGAATTAGGCCAAGCCTTGTCAGAGCATTGTCATGAAAACGTCAGAAAAACACTGAGTGTACAGTGTGTTGTAACGTTACACTGGTGAAAGAACATCTCTCTTGATGAGGTCACTTGTTGGCATGCACAAGTTGAGTCTGCTTGGCAATTGATCACTTCATTTTGTGCCAGCATTGAAATATTTTCCGCCAGTGTGTTGATTTGCAGAATTCTTTGGAAAAGTTTGGCATAAAAATGAAATCATTGGTCTGATACTTTCCCCAAATCTGGTGCTATATTTTAAAAAAGCAACACCATGCGTAGATTCCGTGTCAGTATTTCCCAGCAAGTGACAAAAATACATTTTTTTTTCACAGGTACTACTTTGTGAATGATAACATGTACGTGCGTGCTGTAAACGCCGAGTTCCCTTATGGCTATGAGTACCTGGGTAACTCCGGCCGACTCGTCATCACCCCACTGACGGATCGATGCTATCTCACTCTCACCGGCGCCCTGCATCTCAAGTTTGGTGGGGCGCCGGCCGGACCCGCTGGTACAGGAAAAACTGAAACGACAAAGGTGAGTAAGCAGTTGTCCCTGAGGGAAAAGTTCTTGTAGTGCATTCCTGATGAAGGGAGATGCTTGAATAGCAAAATAATATTTTGGACATCAGTCCGCCAACAGAATTTTGTCAGAGTTCAGATGAAATTAGTGACATTAACAAGTACTTCATGACATCGTTAAAAAAACAAAGTGAAAAATGAAGTAAAAAGAAGGCACAACATTGCTGGTTAAACCAATCTTAGTTTACTGTCTGGTAGACCAGGGCTAGCGTTTTCCTTAACCATAATTCAGAAATACCTCAGACTGTTTCCCTATTCAACAACATGCAACTTGACTGTGTATTGACATTTCATAATTCTTACTGAGAAGTGATAATGCCTGCTGCGTAAATCACACGCTGGCACCTGGATACCAGACAGTTTAATTGATTCTGATTGGTCAATAGACTGTGTGCACATGGGTTGCTACGCGCACCAATTGGACAATTTGCACAAGGAATATTCCATAAAATGGACGGGGTGTTCGGGAAAATGAAAGTAAAATAAAACAAAATTGCTGGAAATCCATCATATATTGACTTCTTTTGATTCTCTGACTGAAAAGGTAGATGTATTTATGAATGGGAATAAATATATGTTTGACCGGATCAGGAGACTGAACGCTGATAATGCCCTTGCCTGCGGCTTGAGCATTAGTCACATCCATTCTCCTGAGCTGGTCTAAAACGCATGTTAAAGACCGCCCAAGCACATATTTATTTCCTTAATAAAACATGTGAGTCCATTGCAGTCTGCATAAATTCACTATAAGCCATTGGAGCCCTGCATTTCATGAATCTTCTGTCAATTCATATCAAGGATGAACATTTTTGTTGGTGCTAAGCATCAAATTTTTTTGTGGAATTTCTTGGTCAGTTTGAATGGGAAGTTCAAATTTTGGTAATCAGAAGGTGGATTCTGGATGGGTCTATAACACAGATAATTCCAAAAGCCCTTTAGTAAAAGATGACTGATCCAATCCCATCAAATCTATCGAATTCTGTTAAATACCATCAAGGTCTTGGAAATCCTATCAAAATCTATTAAATTTTATCACCGTCATCTTCTTTCTTACCCATAAGGATTTGGGCAAGGCCCTGGCCATCCAGACGGTTGTCTTCAACTGCTCAGACCAGCTGGACTTCATGGCCATGGGCAAGTTCCTGAAGGGGCTGGCCAGCTCGGGGGCTTGGGCCTGCTTCGACGAGTTCAACCGCATCGACATTGAGGTACTGTCAGTGGTGGCTCAACAGATCAGCACCATCCAGAAAGCCCAGCAGCAGAAAGTGAGTACCCCTCGTGAGAAATGTGTACTCCGTGCTTGGGTGTTTGGTAGTTTGCCTGAGATATGAGCTAAACTAGAAAAAACAATTCATCCGTCACAAAATGGTCTGTTATCTTTTCTCAGGTTGACAGGTTCATGTTTGAAGGTGTGGAGATCGCACTGAAAATCTCTTGTGCTGTTTTCATCACCATGAACCCTGGTTACGCTGGAAGAACAGAGCTACCTGACAACCTGAAGGTATGTACTGAAGCAATCAATTTAAAACAATACTAATAGAGTACCGAAGTGTGACATTCACTGTGAACCAGAAAGTGCAGTGCAAACGAATGGAGTACGCGCGCGTGTGTTGGTTCACGCGCTGGTTCTCGCACTAATGCCTTTTACACACTAATTGTGCGCGTGACGTATTCACTTCGGTACTGTATTGACCTGGCGAACTGGCACCTCACACATGAGAAATGTGTTTGGTAATACATCATAGCCCTAAACGTCATGATTGTCTCCCCGAGTAAAACCAGGTAGCACAGTTATTACGTAAATTTTCTTTTCCACTTTCAAAATTTTCATATTTGGAAGGAGCTTATAAAGTGAATCCGTATATTAAATGACCCTGTGGAGCACACATGATGCAAGTCTTGCAGTATATTTTCAGTTCATTTAATCTTTAAATTTACTGATAGTAAGTCTTGCATCATGAATTTTTCAGTTTTTAAGAACAGAATATTTTCAGTTACATTTGTAGTTGAGATGGCTATTGGATTATTCTGTGATCTGATGTCTTATGTACAGAGCTATCATTGTGTAAATATAGGTCTGGGAACTGTCATGAAAAATTATTCCAGGCACTAAAAGTCAATCACAGTGTCAACTTCTATCTTCTAATACAAATTGCACTTGACTCTGTTGTATGGTTATCCCAGTTCATCATCATATTTTGGATCGTGTAAGGTGTGCATACATTTATGAGATGATTCTGTACTGAAATATTTGGCAGGCTCTGTTCCGCCCGGTGGCCATGATGGTACCAGACTATGCCATGATCGCCGAAATCTCGCTCTACTCCTTCGGGTTCAGTGACGCCAAGCTCCTGTCCAAGAAGATCACCACTACCTTCAAGCTGTCCTCGGAGCAGCTCAGCTCACAGGACCACTACGACTTTGGCATGCGGGCGGTCAAGACGGTCATCTCAGCCGCCGGGAACCTGAAGCGGGAGAACCCTGAGATGAGCGAGGTAAGGAAAAGAGAGAGAGCGAAAGAGAGTGAGAGAGCAGGGGAGGGGGAGTGGGTGACAGAGAGAAGATTAAATACCTCTTTGTTAATAAACTTGCTTTCCCTCAAGTGCTTGGCCCTGGTCCCAGCCAACACGGTCAGTCGTAAAGTGTGTAGCCTTCTAATGGGTGGTCGTTTTATCCACGCATGTAATAATCTAATGTAACCACACACTGGCCTAATACATGCACTTTATGTGCAGTAAGAAATGCTAATTGTAGGTGTTAAAGATGGATGTGCTCATAAGGATTTTCACCAGCGGAATGTTTCAACAAGCAATCTAACATGCTAAAACACTGTACCGACCAGTGATGCATAAATTAACAACTGCTATTCTAAATATACAAAAGTTAGATCTCCTCTTGTGCATCGTACACAGCCCAGGGTTAGGCATGTAATAAATAGAATTCCACTTTCAAAAATCGGGGTATAAAGACGAAGACTAATCACAGTGAATAGCCTTCAATTGTTTCCCCTGGAACCTTTGGTCTTGTGAAAAGAACTTACGTGAGGACTTATGATGGCCTTGATCACAACACAGGGTTAATAATAGAACACCCAGAAATGAGTAAGATTTAGGTAGAAAGACATTTTTGGAAGAGGACATGTAGGAGTTATGTTTGTATCTGTGGAGTTCTTGCTTTTCTTGCTTGTGTCCTGTGAGGACCCTGTTTCAAATCGTTCGTTGTTGGAGTCTAAGTACTCAAGGGGTTGTCGTCTGTCCTGATGGAGGTAATAAATTCCTCCGGAAAAAAAGTGGTGATTTTTTTTTGCCCACAACTTGAATGTGGGGTTTGTTTCTTCATCCTCTTAGGTGCTTGGATATTGATCTACGTAATATCTTCAAATACAGAAGTTGGTGCTGCAATAACATGTGATCACTTCGTGACAAGTTTCTGGGGAACCCTTCTTTTTGCAGGAACTGATAGTACTCCGGGCCATCCGGGACGTCAACGTGCCCAAGTTTTTGCAGGACGACCTGAAGCTGTTCAACGGCATTGTGTCCGATCTCTTCCCTAAGATCAAGTAAGAGCTGTTGTTTTTCAGCTCAAGAAGACTATTTTGACAATGCCTTGCACGGTCCAGACAGATGTTACTGCAGACTATCAAGTTTTTGACCCTGCAGAGAGTGAATTTAGTTCTTGGGGGCAGCGGAGACTGGGCAGTCCACAGAGAATGTGTCATCACTTCACTGCCAAGTTGACGCTGTGGCTGATAGGGGAAGCCTTACTGTAAGAAAGCCAAAGGAGTTAAGGCTGGACTTGGGCCAAGTTTGAATAAAGGCCGTTTGTCGTCCATCGGTCGATTTATCTGGTACCCAGGATGTGTGTTGTACATGGGTTACCAAGCAAAGTCGATCCTTGGTTGACTGATGGTCATTGATTGAACTTTGCTTCAATCAAAAAAATAGTGTAAATTAACTAGCATAAAAATTTATCTGTGTTGATGATTGCATAAATTGACATCACATTTGCCCTGTCCAAGTTTCCTGTCCGAGACGTTAAGCAGCATTAGTGAGTTTGAATTAGTGATTGAGATGCCATGCTGACCTCATGTGGAAACCTTCAGTAACTCTCAGTCATTTGCAATATCGGTCCCATCCGCATATGATTAAAAACAGTTCCCTTCCCAACCTTTCCTCTTCCGCTGAAGGTCATTGTGTCTGTTGTTGCTGTTGTTTACGTTTCTCACTTCAGTCTTGATTCCCCTCACTCCAGGGAGGAGCCCATTGACTACGGTACCTTGGAACAGTCCATTCGCACCATGAGCGGCAAGCTGGGGCTGAAGGACGTGGACGGTTTTGTCGGCAAGTGCATCCAGCTGTACGAGACCACCGTGGTCAGGCACGGCCTGATGATCGTTGGACCAGCTGGCTCGGGAAAAACCAAGGTAAGGAGAAAAGACCTCAGAAAAAGTTTGAACTTACGAGGGTGGTTTCTTTTTCCGTTTCAATTGTGTGAAATTCTTACCTGTTACCGTCTCCTTAAGAAGTGGTGTTTGGAAGTGAAAGTACCTTTCGTTTGGCATAACTAATGCCCCCCCAGACTGAAAGCTTTTTTCAGTGTTGTAGTCGAGACCATCATAAGACTAGACACAAGACCATGCAAAATACCAGTCATAAGTAACAGGGTGAACAAAGACAAAGGAATGCTTTTGTTGCAGTTCATTTGAACCGCTTGTGACTTGAATTCAGATTGGAGGTTTTGTGCTGGTCTTGTGTGGTCTTTTGAAGATCTGAAGTGGTTTTGGCTACAACACTAGCTTTTTTATGAGTTAAAAAAGGAAAGGAAATAAAATGAAAAGTTGTAGAATATGAATGGCCATTCCAAACCTTTGGACAAATCAGAAAAGAGAAAGAAGAAACCAGAAGTTTTTATTACAAAGTAGTCCGAACCGTTCTTCTCTGCTAACGCTGCAGTGATGCGGCTCAAGGCGGTTCCTCTTATTCAGAAGGGAAAGCCTGTCTCTGTCAGAAAAGCCTGCACTCAATAATTTTGGTCTGATCCATACCAGTGTTACGAGGTCCTGAAGAGGGCGCTGACTTCACTGAAGGGAGAGGTGGCAGTCGGTGGAGGCACCTATGAGAACATCATCACCTACGTCCTCAACCCAAAGTCCATCACGATGGGCCAGCTGTACGGAGAGTTTGACCTACTGACCCACGAATGGTGAATTTTTGTGGTCTTGCACAGCATCAATTTGACAGCATTAACAAATAACCTGTATCGTTCTTAGATATTTTCAATAGTTTACTTACTGCTCTTGATTTTTCTCCATTGTGTCTTAGTTCCTCCAGTGCTATGGTAATTGAAATGAGGACTTCACTTGAGGACTGGTCTTAATTTACAACACCTTTCAAGTTTTGGGTCTTTCCTTCCGATCAGATTTTCACCAACTTCATGCGTCATACTTTCTACATGATAAAAAAAAAGCATTTTTAAGATGGCGGAGTCATTTTGGCTTTGGTTTGATAGGACGGATGGCATCCTTTCCTCCTTAATTCGTATCGGGTCCTCTTCGATGGAAATGGACAACCGCTGGTACGTCTTTGATGGGCCCGTGGATGCCGTGTGGATCGAGAACATGAACACGGTGCTGGATGACAACAAGAAGCTATGCCTAAGCAGTGGAGAGATCATCAAGCTCACTGAGGTACGGAGACACCAGTGTCAACAGGGCGTAAAGGAACTAGTTGAAAGGCCAAATGTTAAAGGTTCACCGTTAGGAAAATGCTCTGACTTGCAAGTATTTCAACAGACCAAAGATTACACAAAAATTTAGTCCTCTTACAAACAGAAAGTAGAATCATGACTTGTGTGCCCTGGACTTCATATAAAGTTCACCACTCGTTGAAATGCCAAATACTCAGCATCTTATCCAGATTTGGCCTCGGTTATTTTGTGTTCACTTTATTTGTCTTCTGTGTCGTGAATTTAAACAGGAAGGGAGATTTCTAATATCACTCAATCTCAAACTGAATAGTTGATGATTCTCATTTGTGGAGTGTATCTATTTCTCTTGTATTTTTCTACTTCCAATTCTAGTACATGAGGATGATCTTTGAGGTGGCCGACCTGGCCGTAGCCTCTCCAGCCACGGTCAGCCGGTGTGGCATGGTCTACCTGGAGCCGAGCATCCTGGGCCTGGAGCCTTTCGTCACCTGCTGGCTCAAACGCATCCCGGAGAACATCTACCCCTACAAGGATCAGCTGCAGTCGCTCTTTGACCGCTTTCTGGTGGTAAGATAGGCCCTCACATCCTAGGCATTGTTTTTCTAGGAAGCATCCTCAAATCCTCCAAAGATCCTCGACCACGGAGGAAACCAGTGGCACATTCTCTTTGACTAACAAGGACTGTTAAGCCCCGGGTAAAGTTATAGTGACCACAGGCTACCTTCCTGAATCTTTTAAATAACTTCCTAAATCTCCTAGATATTCAGAGACATCTTGGCTGGAGCTTAGGGAGGGACAAACCTTTGTGAGTAGTGATGATGATCTGAAGACTTTAAGAAGTGGTTGGATGGCACACTATTTCATTCCATTTGGGCTCTATGTGTGAACAAAAGGGAGTTCTTCGTTGCCTGGCAATGCTTATAAATCAATCTTTTGGGGGACTGTTACCACTGACCAGTATTTTTGCTATGTTGGTTGACACCTGATGTAATGTTTTTATCTCACAATATTCGGACACTTTTCAAGATACGCTACCTAGATGCAAATCTTGCAAATTGCAAATGTTGGAGTGTGTGTGTGATAACAAAAGGTATCAAGCATTAGCATAAAATGTTTGTCACTTTATAAAAGCAGTGACCATTTGTGACATTAACTTTACCTTGTGTAAATGGACTTTATAATAAACTGCCTGGTTATTTTAAGGAAATGAGATTAAACAATTTTGTCAGGTCTTTGGTACAGAAAGAAAAAAAAATACATCCACCAGACCTCAGTAACAACTGCAGTTTATGTATGCATTTTGGGGTGTGTATACCGGTGAATGTAACTGATGTATTCACAGGCTTTTATGTGAAATTGTCTTGTCTTTCTTCCAATTTTTCCCCCCATTTCTCAGGAATCCATAGAGTTTGTCCGCACCAACTGCAAGGAGATTGTCGCCACCATGGACAGTAACCTCACCCTCAGCATGCTCAAGCTCATGGACTGCTTCTTCACCCCATTCATCCCCCAGGAGGTAAATAGTACAGTCCGCATTAGCACTGACACAAGGGGTTTGGATGGAGTAGTGCATTGAGTTTAAAGGGGTCAAATAGATGTCTAAATAGAGGGACCATGGAAATATCTTGGTAGAAGCATTGGATCAGAATTTTAATTCCTGGCTTCGTGCAGGTTATATCTTTCCCCTCTGTTCCTCAACATTTCTGAATTTTTTTCAGTTTAGCTGACTTTTTTATTCTGTATTTATATGGTAGATTCTGTTGGAAGAAGGCTGCTTGCTTTTATTTTGCTCACTTTGATCTAACAGTAGTTTACCAGCTTTGAATTCAGTTATTTAACGGCATTGATTATCAACTGTTTAATGCATTAAAATGCTTTTAGGGGATGCTTTTTTTGGAGATATTTTAAGAATTTTGCATTGGATCATTGCAGATAATCTTTGTATTTTCTGTCACTTTAATGTGGAAATATTTCTTTGGTACAACTTGGAATGTCTAAACTACAAATAATAAATAATAAATCTTTCTTACAAAATAGTACTGTTCTAAAAATTTAACTTGTTTGTTTTTGATATAGTCAACAGCTTTCATACATTGTAGCTACTTTGAGCTTAGACTTTTGATTTTGTTATCTTTTTGCTCTCATTCCTAAATTTTCATTTTATTTATGCTTACTGCTGCTGAACATTTTTGCTGTTTTTTGCTTCGCTTCTTTTTCATCTTGCTGATGCCACTGCGTAGGCTGTAAGTCTTGCATCCAATTTTCAGCATCCTAACGAGTACTGTGACTAATATGTGACCCATCTCACGGTTTTCCCATCACTAAACTCAAAAGCTGACAGTACCAGCACCCTTAGGTTGATGTGGACTTTGGGGTAGAAGTGATTGCAGTGAAAGTTTCGACAGAGAACCTTTCCTTCCATTGTTTGAAACTCTTACTAAAGTGTTCCTTACTCTGACAAAACATTACAATTATTACTGCTGTCGAACTGCCTCACGAAAAATGTGAAGGTATTTGCACTTTTCTTGGTTTCCATGACGTCAAGGGGCAAAGTAGCCCAAAAATCATGACTTTTTTCTGTCACCAGAATGCTGTGCTAGTTTTATGTCCCTCCCCTAATATATAAACTACTTGTTTGGAATGTTAAAGAAAGTGAGGGACTCAAGATTGAAGGATCCATTCTGAAATACTTTGCTGTGTGCAAATTCACCTGTACTAACCTATTATATACCCTATTCCATACCCTAACCTTGCACCAGTAGCGACCCACCAGGCAAACAATTTCTTCCTGGCTTGTTATGGACTTATTGCATATGATTTGCTTCTAAATCATCAGAATTCGTGAAGTCACATGTCAAATTCAGCTGTGACTCAACCCACACTACCTTCACGGGAATTTTTTTGACAGCCACGATTAAACCTCAACAGGCTGTGATTGACAGGGAAGCTCATGTAGGCATACATAAATACCATTTATCTCTTACAGCCACCCAAAAATGATGTTCTTCCGACATTGTTCAGAATTTCATTACAAAACTTTTCAAATCTCTTTCCACAGTGTCAAGAAAATTTCCCGAATTCCTTAAAGTGATCACTTAAATTAATTACAATGAGTAAACCTTTCCCCTTTTTTGAGTAACAGTCATCGTTCTAAACTTGCAGGGTGATCCACCCATCTCAGAAGAGCGGCTTGAGCGAGTAGCTGAACTCATCGAGCCCTGGTTTATCTTCTCGCTGGTCTGGACAGTCGGAGCCACGGTGGACTTTGACGGACGGCGCAAGTTCAGCACATACCTACGCGAAAAGATGCAGAAAGAGAACGTGAGCCCAAACTCATCAAAGAGCCAAAGTTTGAACTATTTTCATGATAGATGGATCCTTTCCTATGCCTTTGGAAGAATGTTTTGGACAAAGTATCATTGCACTGTGTCTTTCAATTTTGTGTACAGATTGCCCTTCCATTCCCACCGGACAACACCGTTTATGACTACAAACTGGACGATGGCGGCATCAGCAAGCGTCCATCCAAGGATGATGAAGAAGAGGAGGAGGCAGGCAAACGCAAAGAGGTGATCGCAACAACTGAAAATCTTGCTTACCAAATTTTACACAATAAGCCAAAATTAGCGGAGTACCAGTTACAAGTGGTACACAGACCGTGGCTTTTTTGCCGGTAACCACTTTTCGCGGTAAAGCGAGTATTATTTTTTGGTTAGCGAATTTCTAAGCTTAGGATTTCCCCATGGAAACATATTCATTCAGAGACTGAATTGGAGCAAGAAGCTGTTTTGTACGCTTGAACCCGGCACTTCTGTTTGGCTTAGCCTGCCTCATATTAAGCAAAGAAAAAAATGGTTTAAAATCAGCCAGTGAAGATTTCATTAAAATTGGAATGTACTGTATACCAGTTCTACTAAATCAATGTCAGATTGTTTTTACCTAGCCACACAATTAAGAGACAGGACTGTAGCTCTGGCAGTTATTTTGGAGATGCCTGAAGGGGAAGGGACGTGTCTGCTTCTAATAATGAATAGATAGATTGGTTTGATCATTAGGATGATCTCTCCCGCTTCTGTCGAAGAGATGTCCTCCACGTAGGCCTGTGCTCAGAAAAACAGTTTGGATGGTAGGGTTGGCAACCAGCATCCTCTTTGGTCTCCATTTAGTTTGAGGGGAGCTTCATAGTAAAGCATCTTCCATTTCTATCTGTGGAATCAGTGAGAGAAAGGGTACAAACTTAGTTGTAAATGAGGGCGTATTAGCAACTTGGACAGGCATATTTACGGTGATAGGATGTAAGACTTGTACTGAGTTCAGTTTCTCACCAGGTATCTCGTCAGTTTTTTCTATGCTGTAATAACTCCCTCTTCATTTCAGGCACTGCTTAGTACTGGCTCACATACAGCTGCATCAATTGAGGTTTTCACAGAGGTAGAATGAAAGTGGACAAGAAAATGAATCTCTGTCTCTGTAGATGACAGATATTTTGTTGAAGTTTTGTTTCTGACAATTTGTCAGGATTCTTAATTCTTGATTCCTATTAACAATTGAGTTTTGGTTTATACTAGCTACATTTGCTTATGATTACAACTTTGGTTGCTCATAATTCAGGTTTCTGCATTATACAAAACAGTTGTCAGTCCCTTGTTCTATTTATTTGCAAATGCCCTCTGGTAATTGAGGTTTTAACTGAACTGAAAGATTCCTTTACAGAATAATTTTTCAAAAGAAGTTAGTGTTTGTTGCAGTTTATTTCAAATTAATAATTGTGTAATTTTTCATCTAATGGTTATGAAGGTCACGAGTAATGGCATGCTTATTCGTGTTTGATTTATCAATTTCTGTTTTTATTTCATTACATAAATTTTTTATTATTTCAGTTTTTTAGTCTAACAGTTTTAACTAATTTATGTAGGTATGTACTTTAATCACAGTTTTTTGGTTGAAGTTTTAATTTGACGTTGTTTTTCTTCAGTAATTTCCTGATATTTACATTTATGATGTTGAAAATATATTTCACGTGTCTTATGGTTCACATGAATCACACAATGACCCAAATATTTTTAAGACAATGAATATTGTGGTTATTAACCATGATCATGACCGTAGTTTTTTCGATTTTACTTCAATTATAGGTGCATTGGTTGGACTGGATGCATGGAATGGGGGAGCGTAAGATCAACCCAGAAATGCGTTACTCGGACATTATCGTGCCGACAGCAGACACAGTGCGTGGGGCACACCTGTTGGAGATGTTGTTGACCAACAAGAAACGGGTAAAGAGCGTGTCTGGACAGCTTGAAAATATGGGCCCACCTTAGCAAGATGACCCTGGTCTTGAAGCCTCAAGAAGAAGTTCTAAAAGAGCTACAAACTTGTGTGCTTCTCTTCAACTTGCATAAATGTGCTTGAAAATTCAAAGGCGCTAATGCAGTATTTTCACAAAGCCAGAACTGCACAGTTCAGCCACTGTATAACCTTACACACCATTTGCTCCTCGGTATTATATTTCAAAAGCATCTGTAGATTTTCTACCCAACTGTCCAAAGTTCAGTGGTTAATGTAAGTATTGACCATATGACAAATTTCAGTGGAAGGGAATAAATCATAACCCAACATTTTCCAAGGAATTCATCAATTCTAATCCTCACAGCTTATTTTAACAGATAACTCACATACTGAAATGTACTCCTAACTTTTAGTTCGAGCAGTCTCCATGTCTTCTTCACATGCACTCCCCTGTAAGTTTTAAGAGAAACTTAATTTTTTTCCCCTCCAACCCAAAATCTTGTGAATTAGAAATGACCGTGATAAACAGGAGAAAAAATAATTAACCCTAACCCCCTAGGGACCATCGAAATCCTGCCTAACCTTGTTGGGTTCAGCGCGGTTAGGGTTAAATTGGAAACTGGTTCCTCCTTTAACAGGTCCTGACTGTTGGGGACACAGGCACGGGCAAGACCCTGACCATCTCGGACAAGCTCCTGAAGAGCATGCCCAAAGACTACATCTCCAACTTCATCAGCTTCTCGGCCCGCACCAGCGCCAACCAGACCCAGGACCTGTTGGACAGTAAACTGGACAAGAGGTAGCGTCTTCCTCTCCTCCTGCTACATCAGATCTCCCCCCTACCTCCTCTACCGTCCCTAACTCGGCCCCCTCCCTTCTCCTGGGGCACAAAGTCAGTGGCGATTCCCACCCTACGGGTTCGGACCCCTACGTTGTTAATTTTGACCAGCCGTTTGTGAATTAAAATATTAGTAAATTTGAAAGGTGCTTCAATGACCTATTTTAATGCAACGTCTGTGAAAACCTATTAAATTATTATGTGGAAAAAGAAGAAAAAAACCTGTCAGCTCAGTAAATGCCCATTTGTCAGGCAGTAGAGCCAGTTTTAATTAGTCTTAATTTTCTTAAACCTCTAGTGATTTGTCAATAATTAGTGTAGCGTCTGTGACCCACTCTTTTCTCGTCATTAAATAGTTGAACACTCAGTTTTAATCAGCAGTGTTTTTAAGTAAATCTTTGAAGTTTGTTAATGATAATGAATAATTTTTGTGTTGTGATTTGTACCTTTTAATCTACAATTTAAAGGTGGACTCGTATTTCCATATGGGGCAACGCGGACATCCGGGAGTTTCACAAAAATATGGGTAGCAACTACACTGCAGCCGGTGAAAACAACTGCAACGAGCGCGCGCATACGTACAGACCAAAGAAAAGATTGTATAACCCGATCCTCGGACTGGTTGGTGTGTGCGTACGTCGCCAAGGTCATTTTTTTCACTGGCACAGCACCTGTCATTTTGCGAGAATCCCGGATGTCCGCGCCGCCCCATATGGTGATAAGATTAGGAAATGCCTAGTTTCCAAGTTTCTTTTCCGAACCACATGGAAAAGCTTGATTGTGGCATACTTCCACATTCCTGGCAAGAAGCTTTCTCTTTTTAAAAATCTGGGTTTTTTTCCAAACAGACGTAAAGGTGTGTTTGGTCCTCCGCTGGGCAAGTACATCATCTTCTTCATCGATGATTTGAACATGCCTGCCCTGGAGGTGTATGGAGCCCAACCCCCGATAGAGCTGATTAGGCAGTGGATGGACCACAGAGGATGGTATGACAGGAAGCAGATTGGTGAGTATAAGGATTATCAAAGGACTACTAAGAGACATTTTTCATTATTGAATAGGTACCGTTCATCTTTATAGTAGTACTGTTATCAGATAATTTTCCATTTTTCACAATTTTATTATTGTATAAACTGGGATTCAGAATAGTTGTTTGTATTGTTTTGGTTGTAATCTTATAAGTTGTTCTTTTATCCATTTTGGTTCTTTTATACGTTGTTGCCGTTTTAGTAAGTAATAAATCTCTTGTTAACCATCTCTGTAGGATTTTTATCTATGCATGCACAGTTGCAAATTGGAAAAATAATTTTTCTTTTTAATTCTTGTTCGATTGTAATAACATGAACTAAAGTAATGGAACTAATCAAATGGTATCTTTGTTCTGACTTAACACAAAACGAGCAAATTGTCTTCAATGTTTACGTGATTAGCCATGTCTGTAATTTGTGAAGTGTTTTACGTTTTGTATATCTGGTCTTCCCCATTTGTCTTGTTTCCCCGTGTTTGTGTCTGTGAGGTCCAATAAATAATAATATAAACATGTGAGTTGTATTTGACGTGTTCACCAGGTGCATTCCGGGAGTTAGTGGACATTAACTTTGTCTGCGCCATGGGTCCACCCGGTGGGGGTCGTAATCCTGTCACAGCCAGGCTCATGAGACACTTCAACGTGCTGTCCTTCTGTGAGCTGGAACACAGCAGCAAACATCGCATCTTCGCCACTATCCTGGACAGCTGGCTGGGTAAGATTACCGGGGGGGGGGGGAGAGTCTGCTCTCTGTCCTTCCTTCGTCCGCCCTCTCCCTTCATTGGATTTACAATGGACTTGGAGTACTGTAATAGGGAGCAGTCCAGCTTTGTTGGTTGGATGAGGAATGTGCAGGGCTAGTTTATGGTTGCCTCGTCAGTGAAGTTGATTACGCATTTGAAATATCTCGACAAATTTGTCAGTTGCAGATTGAAAGAAGAGTTGAACATATTTCAGCTCTGGAGAACTCCACCGATCGAATTTTCTCACAACAAATTGCTTTTGCACTTTTATAAATGTATTTGAGATATAAGCAATTGTGAATCCAGAACCAATGTTTCATTACGAAGGGCCCCAAAAGTATGAGAATTTCTTTACATATTTTTGGAAAGAAAGAAAATTAAGTAGCCCCCGTAATTACCTTTCCGTTGTTATTTATGAACAACTAAAAACAAAAGTGCCCCCTTTTTTGAAGGGGGACCTGGTCCCCCATTGCCCTCCCTTCCATCTGCCTTTGATTATATTCTAAATGGTACTTTATGGTTTTTCTCACAGCACAAACTCCGTCAGTGTCTGACCACTGCGCCAAAATCGTGGATACCACCATTAACGTTTACGAGACCATCACCACCCAGCTGCTGCCTACCCCGGCCAAGAGCCACTACACATTCAACCTGAGAGATCTCTCCAAGGTTTTCCAGGGTATGTTTTCTGACGTAGAGCGTTCCAAATCTGTTACAGCGCTGTGCACATCTCGGAACTTTTTTGTTTAACAGTTCACTTTTATTTAAAAATTCGACCCGAGAATGCAAAGAATGACAATCTGGTACAAGTGATTATTTCATAATGCTTTGAATAAAGAGGTATTGGAAATGAAATCGTCTTGTTGGAAGTTCTGCATTTTGCACTACGGGTTTTAATTAAAGTTGCATTCCATCTTAAAAGCAGATGTTCATTCTGTCAATTTTCCTGTTTGGAAATCATCCACCGTGTAAGCCATTTGTGACTGACCGGATCCCAAGAATGACTCCCAGGGTATTTTGTCATCAATTTTGTCTTTGGTTCGGCATTTAGGAAGCGCCGACTGAGTGCTTTGTTGGCATGTATTGCTCAGTTTGGCATCCTGACTGCTCCTATTGATTCCCATAGTACAGAATTCCTTTAGAAACCTACCTGCTGTGACTAGAAGCACCCTACTCACTGGCAAAGAAGACACCAGCTGGTGGGAAGGTTTCAAAATGAGCTTGGCACACACGTAAAGACTCTACATTCCATGATAAGTTGGTCACACTCTCAGCGCACTCCGCGTCAAGCATTCACGAACTCATGTGCACACCAGTGGGACACTCTGCTGTTTAAAAGCATGCCATCTCTTATCCCTCCCCAAGCGGATAATAATAATGATAACACATTTCTTATATAGCGCATCACATAGCACATCTCGATGCGCTTCACAGTAATATTATGAAACTGACTCTTGTGACTTCTGACTAATATCATTAAGTTGCAGAGTTCGTAGCGGACATTAAATTTCATTGTGGTCATGAAATTCCCGGAAAAGTCATTAAATGTTTGTAGAAAAGTGACTAAAGTCATTACAAGTCATTAAAATTTCATCTTTTACAACTTGCATTTTATAATTGTGTTGAATTTTTCAAGATTTTGTGTTATCGCAGCGGTCTGCGAATCATGAACAGTTATTACTGTTATGTCAAAGCCCTGCGATGTCACCTCAAAGGAGTGTGATGTAATCACAATTGAGTGTGTTGCCAGTATTGTAGAAATGCACATTTAATGATTATGGAAGTCATTAAAAAGTTTTTGAAAATGGACTAAAAAAGTCATTAAAAGTCTTTGAAGTTTTGGGGTCTTGACACTATGAGCCCTGGATTGGGTTGCATTGTCTTTAACCCCACACCCTTCCTTCTCTCAGGCATCCTCATGGCCACGCCTGCCAAGGTGGAAAACCTGAGTAGCCTCCTCCGCCTCTGGTACCACGAGAGCTGCCGCGTCTTCCAGGACCGGCTGGTCAACAAGCAGGACCGGGACTGGTTTGAGTCTCTCCTACGCGACAAGATGACCTCGGTCTTTGGCGCCAAGCCCGAGGAGGTCCTGCCCACCGACAACATCCTATACGGGGACTTCATGGTGGCCAACGTGGACAACAAGCAGTACGCTTACATTGAAGACGAAGCTAAGGTAGGCAAATCTCTTCAGGCCCTGTCAGTGGAAAGAAAAACCTACCTGGGCCAATTCATGAAGCCGCCGCGCTGAAAAAGCACTGTTCATTTTGATATTAGGAGATTTGTCCTTCATGGATGTACCAAAATCTGCATCTGCCCAGTGCAAAAAAGTTACATCTTATGAAGGCAATTACTGCTTACCAAATTTATATGCTAAACCCAAATCAGCCGTGAACCAGTTACAGATGGATACATTCCCATGATTTTTTGCTCGGTACCCTGTTCTTGCTGTACAAATCTTTTCTGTGATTAACAGAATTCTGCACTCAATTGATCCGTGAGATGAGCGTTTGTACTTTTTAGCTCCTTGCATATTTCTTGTCCAGTTATTGAGCTCATCAACTTTTAAGCCTCCACAGTGTGCCGATGCGATGGTCCAAAAAATAAGAGGTCATTCGAGAACATAGCACCTGATGTCAAGTGCGCTCAAACAAATTCAATAAATTTGAACATCTAGGGTCGACCCTGTTAGCCACACTGACCTTGGGCACGTGTTGATGTGTTTGAGTACTTAACGATGTGCTCAAGTATAACAGTAGCGCCTAAGTTTTAGGAACTATGACTTTTTTCTACAGTTGCAAGTCTTCAATCAGTTTTAACGCCTGTGAACACAATTGGTGATGGATTTCTCCTAATTATCAATTGGTTCTAGCTCTTCCACTTCCCAGCAGGTGGTGTCCGCTGTGTCTACTCTCCATAAACTTTAATCAGAGCTCACCTGATGACTTCCCTCCTCTCTCCTTCCCACTCCCTCTTGCCTCAGATGATCCAAGTGATGAAGGACTACCTGGAGGACTACAACCAGGTCAACACAGCCCAGATGAAGCTGGTCCTCTTCATGGACGCCACCAAGCACGTCTGTCGCATCAGCCGGATCATCAGACAGCCCCTGGGCAACGCCCTACTGCTTGGCGTGGGAGGGAGCGGACGTCAGAGTCTGACCAGATTGGCTGCTCACATGTACAAGCCTCACTTGTTTTTTTTCTCTCTAGTTTGCTTCTTTTTTTTAAATTCATCCATGCTAGAGGCGGGGTATACTTGAACCTTCCCGTAAACCCCCAATTTGTATAGTGCAACCAAATCCAAAAAGCCACTGATGTTTTAACTTGCACGATAACTGGATTGATAATTAATAACATGTATAAGATCACAAAACATTGCCTAAATCCTTTAAGCTCTCAATGAAAAATACTCTTGATTTCATATCCATCAACGTTTATGTTCAGAAGCTAACCATGTTGGGTTCATCGGTGTCTATACGTATTTTAGCGTGCCTTCTTTTACGACTGTTATAGCTTTAGTATAACAGGACATATAAATTTTGGGGGCATCATACTGACCTTTAATAACCTCCCAAAATACAACACCAAGTTGTGCTTGGTTGTAGCAAACGTGGGTGTGGAGAGTCCAGCCAAGATTACTTGACATTTGTCTGCAGTCTTGATCCACTAATACAGGTACAAGGAAGGTACCATAAGGTTGCAGCTAGTGTTACCTGGGTTCAACATGTCCGCGTAAAAATGTCCTCAAAACATAAATAGTGATATTGTTATTCTCATTTGCGGCCAGGGCGGAGTATGACCTTTTCCAAATTGAGCTGTCCAAGAACTACGGCGTGAACGAGTGGCGGGAAGACCTGAAGAAGGTCATGATGGCCGCCGGGCTGGAGGGAAAGCCAACTGTCTTCCTCTTCTGCGATACCCAGGTAAAGGATTTTAAAGTACCAGAATTTTATGCACATTGTAAGAGTTTCGTATGACTTTACAGGTGTTAAATATTTTCTCAGTTGTTTCTGTTTATTTTCCCTGCTCACTGGGCCTATAAAAATTCCTTAACCCATCTCAGCTCCCAAAGAAGTATACAGTTTCATGCTGTGAGTTGAACACAGAGGGAAGATAAAACTTTGTGTCTGTACAGCAAAGTAAAATTGCTTGTTCATTCACTTGATTCTTTACAAGAATCCATATTGGGTTTTTTTTTGTATTAGATCAAAGCAGAATCTTTCCTGGAGGATATCAACAACATCCTGAACTCTGGCGATGTTCCTAATGTCTATGGCTTTGACGAGTTGGACACCATCTACAATGCCATGAAGCCCATCGTCCAGGATGCGGGCATGCAGGCCACCAAGACCAACCTGTTCTCCGCCTACACCAAGCGGGTCAAACAGAACACGCACACTGTGCTGTGCATGAGGTAGGTCATTCGTAGATCATAGGTCGTAGGTCACGTGGACCTGTCAGTGCAGGTTGTTAGTCGTGGATCTCAAACCCTGCACTTGGGATAGGAGACACTCAGTAGGTGAATTTATTCTCTGATTACATTCCCCCAAGCGAACCAGTGAAGAAATTCCTTCGTTACAGCTTACCCATTTGTTCTAGAAATTCACCAAGACATACTAGATATGTTTTCTTCACCATCTACTCAATCTGCAACCTGTATGCTGTATTTGAATATATTCAATCTGTCTATTTAAATCAATGGTGATGAATGTTTCAAAGGGTAATTTAGAACTAGTATAATAATAATATCCTTTAAAGTGTCTTGAAATCCAGTATTTTTTTCCGTTACTTCTTTTCATTTCTTCAGCATTAAAGGTGCAAAGGGATTTCAATTCCTCACCATAAAGCATAAATTTCATATTTTTCATACGTTTGTGCCGGTCATAGTGTGCTACAATCATTTCCCTCCTCTCTATCTCCTAAATGTCAGTATTCACCCTTCTTCCTGATCCCTAGTCCCATCGGAGAGATCTTCCGTGCCCGCCTGCGACAATTCCCCTCACTGGTCAACTGCTGCACCATAGACTGGTTCAGTGAGTGGCCAGACGAAGCCCTGTGCTCTGTGGCTGAGAGCTTCCTCAATGACATTCCCGACCTGGACGAAGGGGAGGAGATAGTCAATGGACTGGTAAGCAAGTCTACTTTGGTTTGAATCTTGAACCGCTGTTTAATGTTACATATACTTGCTTTTTCTGACAGACAGTGTTGTCTTCAAAAGTTTCAGTGCTTTAAAGACTTGTCCTTTTCTTGAACCGTTGACATGGATGTATTTTCTACTTAGGTGTTTTGTTTGGTGTCAGGAAGAAACTTGGATATACAATAGCCT